TTGTTGTTTTGCTTTAGTAAGACAGAGATAAAACTTGCAAATATAAAATCCTCTCAATATATTTGATTGATATTGATTAAATAGCTAGTTAAACTAAATAACTTAATCGTTAAGCAATTAAAATTAAATAATAATATTACGAGTAATATTATAAGCGTTTCTCTTTTTGTAATTTGACATGTTAAAACTTAGAATTCTATAATACAACCGCTAGCTTATTTATTACTCTGGTACTTATTTATATTTCCCTATCTCATTTTATTTAACATTGGTATAGTCAAGTATTTATTATATTAAAAGGGTAATAATAGACGTGTACTTAATAATTTTATTAAGTATTTAATTTAAAAAAAAAATTAATGAAGTATATTTTTGTATTAATTACAGGTTGTACTTGAAACAGAAATTACCAATAAACCAGCATTAAAGTTATATGAAAACTTAGGCTTTGTACGAGATAAACGTTTATTTTGCTATTATTTGAATGGTGTGGATGCATTACGTTTAAAATTGTGGCTCAGATAAATTGCAATGGTACGTTTAAATTATAAAATCGTCATGTGACAAACAAAAACAGTAAAACTTATTTTATACTGTTCATACTATGTGTAGATTTAGTTTATTTGATGCATAAATATTCATATGTATAATAATTATGGTGTAAATTTATTATTATCTGTCGTTATAAAAATTATTCAATAAAATATCGTTTTTGATTTTATTTACATTTTATTTTTGAAAGTAGAAATTCTTTTAATAAATTCAATCAAAAAACTGAAAGACCTGTTATCCATAAACAATTATAGAATTTAAATTTTCAAAGTAAATTCAATACTTAAAAGCCGATGTTCTATAAATTCTTAATTAAAAAAATATATATATGGTTTATATTTAAATTAAAGACTATATTTTTAATTTTTTTTTTTTTGATTGTTAATATAATTTTTAATATCTATATACAAAAAAAAAAAAAAAAATTATCGATAACTAATTCATTAGATTCAATTATCCATTAGTGGTAAAAAAGTATTGAGTGTAATCAATAATTTATTTAAGAAAGACATGTTACAAAAACATTTTGTTATATTTTAGTAATTGTTATAAATTCAATTAGAAAAAGATTGTGATGAAAACATTCTTATTATCTATTGTAACTTTAACATAGAATATTTTTTGACTCTAAAAAAAAAAATAAATAAATAATGATTACCTTAATCAAAATAAAACTTTATTTATTACTAATGGAATACTAAAAGATAAAGATTGTTGTATCAAATGTCTTTGTAGTTTTTGTAGTTTGATTCCTAATTCAATTGATAAAATGTTATTTTTTCCAATGAAAATTATATTTTAAATACAGTATACTTAATGAATAATGATAAAAATCATATAATAAGTAAAATTGTTATCAAAACCATGAAATTATAAAATATTTCATTAATTTTATATTTATTAATTAAGATTCAAGAGTCAGGTAACATGAAAAATTTTGTTTTTATTTTAAAATAATAATTAGATAAATTTACTCTAATATTATATAGCTAACTACTCAAAAGTTGATTTACCTGAATACAAATTTGATACGTAATATATTTATAAGACAAATACTTCATGTGTATTATTTTAAAAAAGAAATAATTTTTTAATTTTTTAACTAATCAATGTAAAAACTTTTCAGGTAAAAAACATAAAATTTAAAAAAATCTCAATGTCCAGAAATATTAAAATCTTTCTTTAAATAATAAAATAAAACATAATTATAATTTATAATGTCTAATATACGTTATTTGGATACTTTCCTTACAAAAATTAGATTTAAAAACATAAAATAATAAATGTTTTAAAATTAAAAAAAATTATTAAAAGTAAAAAGAATCACTTACTACACACAATACATATATACAATTTTATTAAGTTATTGTTTCATAAGATATTTTAGAATTATAGAACTAAACATTAGTATACACAATAACAGTTTGATTTATAAAAAAAAATAGTTAAAAATAAATATTTTTAACACAAATAATTTATACATTTCAATTAATATATGAATAAGTATATGTTAATTGGGCAACTTCATAATTCAAGAAAATTTCAAATCATTTGTATAGTTATTAGAATTACTTACTAATTTTCATTGAGTAGGTAGGTATATTATTATTTATTATTATACACGTTCGATGGTTTCAGGTGATTGAGTACCTTAGTACCTATAATAAATATTTATGAAATAAAAATAATTTAAAATTTATTATTAGGATTAGATAAGGTATATTTTAATATTTATTTATTTACACACATACACACAAGCGTTATTTGATATTTCCTAGTCACTTTCAGATCCACAAAATATAGGTAATATTAATTATTTAATAGAAACTTCTGAAACTTTTTCATAATTTTCCCATGCTCTATAGGGTTAGAATAGTTAGATAATTATTTTATAGTAATAAGTCGTTCTAGTATGTTCATTACTAGGTCTTCATACTTCAATATCAGTTTAACCATTAAACGATCATACTAGCATTGACATTAAAAATAGTGTAAGAATCTATTTAAAAAGCATTTAATACAGATACCTTTGGTCAGCAATTTTCAAACTTTTTTGTTCGTGGAACCCTTAATAAATTTTAATAATTGGCTTGATAGACGAGAGTTGGATGTACAAGTCTGCTTCAGCATTAATTTATTGCAATATTTTGTTTTCATTGATGTACCTACATGATAAAAGTAGGATTTTATACAGATATGTTGCTGCAAAAGGAAAAAGTGTTAGATCAGCTTTTTTAGCCAGAGATATATGTTAGTAATGCACTAATACTGCTACTGCACCAAAACTGTTAATGATAATTTATCAAATAAAATTTTTAATAACGAATCGATGGTTATTCTTCATACTCCATCATAGATAAGTCTTCAAGTTTATCCTTTATTAAAATTAATTTTTAACCAAATTATATCATTGGATAAATTCTATATCTTTACTCTCTGGAAAATATTTTTCTGATGATGATAGTACTTATTCTATTTCATTTAAATGTTGTTCAATTTCATCATGTATTTCATAAAATTCTTCAATATTACCATTAACCAATCAAAAAACAGAAAAGGATTATAAAAATAATTTGAATTTAATTAACACTGAAGTACCTACGGAGTCCTTAGATTACTCTTGCGGTGCTTATTAGGGCTTCGCGGAGCACATTTTGAGAACCACTGCTTTAGATAAATTTTATGTTGATTTCGATTTAGTCGTAATTGGCATGAATTATTATAAAAACAGGAAAAAGAATACTGAAATATTTTAAATAACGTTATATAATAAGTAAAAATACTAGGTAAGTACCTAAATTTGTATAGTATGTGACCTATACCAAGACGATTATATTATGTAGATATGGACAACCTATACGGCTAATGGCTATGCTTGATCCAGGTCCAAAGCCACGCGGAGGGAGGCATTGCCTCCTAAAAATATTGCCATAAAAGTTTAATCATGTGACATCAGTGTAATATTTAATTATCCACGTAAAATTTAATTTAAGTTTTATTTTTATTATTTAGTATTATTTGTTTTGTATTTTTAAAATAAATGTTTCATTGTAAATTCCCAAAATATTCTATTATAAATGGATATTAGATGGAAAATTACAGTTGTGTTAATTTAATGAGATTTCAGTGTAAATAAATTAAAAATTGCATTAATATTGTTTTATATATAATGCCCCTTCAAAAAATGTGCTTTGCTCCACCTGACAATTTGGTCTGGCTACTGGCTTGGCTTGTTTTCTTTATAATTTTATTATATATTCACTGATTTTTACCAATAGATATTTCTTTATTCTAATATTATAAGATTACTCATTAACGACAATATTGCCAGCACACATTCTGTCGTTAATTGTAAATTGCGTTTTTTAAAACTTTATAATATTAGCACTTGAGTTGTATGCGATAATTTCCTCTGAAAAACTATTAGATACTACAAAGTAACGAAACTAATAACTTATATTATAAATGTCAGTGAACAAAGATATGTATTAGAAAAAAAGATTGGCAACAGGTGGAACTCGAAAAATCAATACTATACGATATATTACAAAGGATGTCAGATATCTGATATCATATATATAAATCAATACGATCAACAAATAGATTTATATACATACAAATTCAAAACTCAGTTTGGGTCAAACATTAGAACTCATTTATTATTGGTCACAAGATTTACTCATTAAAACTGTTTTATATTTACCTAACAGTTTTTAAATATAAATACCACGACAGAACGACAAAATATTTTCAGTTACCAGGCATCAAATCTGGGCTTATTATATTACCTTATCGATATTTATTATTGGTTATTTAAACATAGATTATTATAAGTTTACTTTCTTTGATTTTTTATTTCTATTACAATAATATTAATACTAGATACGTATCATACATTTATTATACATATTTTCAAAAATGTAATTGTTTTCAAGAGTTTCTGTTAGATATTTTCTGTTGTCCCAAATAATTTTCGATCCTAATTTGTACCAAAAACTGTATATATATAAAAAAAAAAAATAATTAAATTGTATTCTTTTAGTAATAGTTAATAGCCAATATAGGTATTACAAGTTGTAATGTATAACATGGTTGTTATAAGAATAACTATAATAATACTAGTAGGTATATAAGACAGCAGTGAGTACAATTATGTAGGTACTAACTACTAGTTAATAAGTACTAGGTAGGTACTTAATAGGGCCTTAAGGCACCATAGTATAGCAATACAAGATGTTGGAATTCGAGTAAAAATTATGACATTACCTAATAAAAAATTTCAAATTATACATTATTATTAACGTGTGCATTATTGTTATAACTGTTGAAGTTATATTTTAAATTACATTTAATACTCACATAAATTAATGTAAAATGAGTTCTATTTATTATGTTATAATGAAAAACATGTTATCAATATATAAAAAAAATTATATATAACGATATCGTAAAACTATTGTGTAGTCTTCAGAAAAATAAACGATAGTGTTTTACTCACATTCCAAAAATACATCCCGAAATTATGTTTGTTGAGTTGGTCCACGAGAATTTGAGTACGAAAACAAACAAGATAATCAGAAGAAACAGACACAACAAAGCCTGTGTTAATTGTATTACATTATTTATTAATAATTTCATTAAATAAAACAATTTTTTTTACTTCAAATGCTGTGACGCTAACACTTAGTTGATCTTTGGAAATGATTGGTATAGTTAATAATTTTCGGTTAGGAAAACCTAATGCAATATAACCAAACACTGCAGATATTGCTCCAGACTTGCGGGATAAAAATCATGCGTAAAATGTTATAAACAAAAAAATTTTATTTAAAAGGTTCTGACTAAATATTAGGTACTTAATTAATATTTTAAATTTTTACACTACACACATAAATACAATATTATAACAGTATATGCAGAATAAATCATATCAATCGAATACCACTCACAGCTCCATGTCTACTTTTTTTTCTGGACATGTTTAGTTTTGGTTCAATGTAAATTCTAGATAAAGAAGAAAACATGCATGCACTAATGTAAAAAACAAAAAATTCTTCTATTGCCATGTAAGGTGAAAACATGGAGATCGGCCACGCTCGTACAAATCCTATAATATACAATATGCTTAAAATTTAAAACATAATCTCTAACATGACTATTTTACAAATTATTTATTATTATTATTATTTATGTTATTTTTATATTGGTACATCTGGTACATTTATCCTGAAAAGCTATAATTATAGAATATTTATTGGTATTTGGTAAGTACATTATTGTCATTAGGTATTACATTTAGTTTCCACCGTTTACTGATAAAAATACAATAGCATATTATAATGTTTGAAACTAGAGCCTATTTTGAGAATTTTTTACTAAGTGACACTATCACTATAATTTATAAACCATAAGAACTAGGCCAAATACTTACTTCGGGTACCTTTTATATTTCCGACTTACGACATGGGGTACGAGGCACATTTATTAACCATAAGGTGGCATTAATTTTTAAATAAATGGCATGAGTACTACTTACTTTATGTGTTAAAATATGTTTTGTTTGTAACATACTTAGTTACGAATAGGTAAAAGTACATAATATTATACGAAAATTAATGTAGGTATTCACAAAGACTTCTAAGTTTTTTTTTTTTTATTAATGTTTAAGAAATTAAATTAAAATTAAAATTACATTTTTGATGTGTTATTTTATCGTTTTTAAAATTTAAATTAAATACCAACAACAACATTAGTGTTAAAATATAAAATTTATAATAAACCATACAAATTTGGGAATAATATCTATAGAAAGTAGAAACCTATATCATATTATGCCATATGAATAAAATTATTATATTTATTAATTGATTACCAACTTACCAAATTTACATAGTGGATAATATAAATATACAACATTAACTGTTAAACTCCACAATGAAGTGTGACTAAACGCACTAAGTAAATTTGACCAAACATATTTTGGTTTGCCTAAAAATATATCATTATTTGGTATATTATAATCGAGATAAAATTAAAATATTATTTTATTTTTAAATAAGCAATTGACTTTTGGTTTGTTTATATAAATTATAATGAGTGAACGGGTTCGTTACATTATAGGAGTACACATGCTATTAATTTTTTAGATATAAGTATATACTATATAGTATGAGAAATAAGTAGATAGTCTTTAACCAACTATTAGTTGTAGTTATATATAGCACAAAAGGTGATATTTTTAAAGGTATTTAAGCATTTTTTTAATTCTGAACGGAGCGATGAATGTATTGATTTTACATTAAATATGAGTGTTTCTTTTTATCTATTATAACTTATAAGTTATAACCATTTGGGACACTAAAAATATTTTGATTTTCAAAAATGAGAGAGGTTTTTTGTAGTAGATTAGACCTAGTTAGTACTGCAACACACCTACCTGTTAATTAAAACTATGTTGGGTCTTATTTAGGTATATTTTAAGAGGTAAACATTAAAAAACTCTAAAGTAATTTTTTTAATGATCCGGAGGGAGGAAGGGTAGACAAGTGAATACTTTTCTACTGCACATTAGGTGTTAAATGAGTCACTATTATAGGAGTATTAAAATATTAAATTTGAAATCAACGATATACCATTGTATACAAAAAACAATTCTTTGCGGAGATGGTCTAAAAAGTAATCTCTAAGTAGAAATGATTAAAAATGTATAACAATATTTTTCATGTGCTATTAATTTCTTAATTAAAAAATATCGAACTTTTATAATTATAATATTGTAATAACGAGAAAAGCAAGACAAAATAGGATAAAAATATTTAAGTTAAAAATAAGGCAAAAAAGAGGAGGAGATGCGACCGGACTGACACAAGGGACACAAGCCTTGTATGTAAGTCCAGTATTAATAATTATTGAATATACTTGTTTTCATGTTATTACCTTCCTTCTGTTCTTCGGAGGGCTTTCGAGATCATGATTCGAAAATATGATCAAATACACCGTTACGCAAATTAGATAATAAAAGAACCTATAGTCTATACTAACAATTAAGTTTTTTAGACATGCAACATACCTGATTCTCCGCAGTGAATACTTATAGTACGTTCCTCGGAGAAAGATGTAAGGTGACACAAATTACGATACGACTTAAGAAAAACTTAAGTTTAAATAAGAAAAACAACTCAGATTTAACTTATAAAAAAAGAAGTTCAGCTGTTACTCGCAGAATCTTATGGGTATGGTGTGTGGTGATTTTTGGGTAGAGCTCTTGCTCGCTTGTCTGGTGCGCCTGCACTGGTAACTTAGCCGGTGCTCATGCATTGATAAGAGAAGATGACTTGGTCAAGCCAGCCAGAATCGCAGGCGGCATCATCAAAGGTCTCCGCGTTTTCTAAAGAAATAGAATTTCTCCTGGGCGACAGAGACCCTCATTGGACCATCCCTTGTCTTTGGCGGCACACGAAACTGGGTCACACGCTTTGAAGCACATTGCCACAAATCATGTGTCAATCCCTTTGTGACCATATAATATAAGTCGTTTTTTTTTATCAATGGTGAAAGCGTGAAAGGATGTTTATGGGGTTTTAATCTGTGTGCAACAACTTGACCGTTAATTTATTTGTTTGAATTTTATGAATATATAATATACAATGATGTGTGAGCATATCATTACAATATATTTTAGTTATATAAATTCATATTTTTTTAAAATTGTATACTTAAGGTTTGAAAATTTAATACAAGATTTAATATAAGTTTTTCAACCTTTATAAAAAAAAATTCTTCCAGGAAGTCAAATTATTTCTTTATTTCCATATAAAGTTAAAATTTTTATGACAATGGATATTCAACTATATACTTTTTCTGAAACTAGGTATTTTAGTTTTTATTTTTGGTAATTAAAAAAAAGGAGTCGTTAATACTAGAAATGTTCAAAAAACTTTTATATCATAATTTTAATTATATGATAAAATTTTTAAAATCTTTAACTTTTTTGAGCTATTTATATAAACATGAATAAAATGTTAAATAAATGATTCTAAAAGCTATATTAAAAAAAAAAAAAAAAACAATGAAATATACTTAATAATGTAGAATGACAAGACTGCCTGCGCTCAGAATCATTTTTCGTAACAATGATATACCTATCATTGAATTTTAATTTACACACCCATAATAGTGACTCATTTAAAACCTATAGTGTATAACAGAGTGATATCTGCTTGTCTATTTTTTTTTTTTTTTAATGCTTTGAGACTTTATTATTTAAATTACGATATTCAAAAGTTTTTGAGTTAAATAATTTTATTGTTTATATTTTAAATATGAGATACTAATACTTAGTAGTAATAATATTACTATTTACATTATTACATTTTATATAACGTCGATAAAATCGTATCAATGAATAGTGACAAAATAGATCCATTTGGTATTTTTATTTTTATATTTAAACCAAAAATCAATATATCTATAGACTATAAAGTATTATAAATTATGATATATAAGAGATAGGTATTCATAAAATTTACCTTCATTAATCATGAAATATTTAAGCATTGTAGAGTTCCATCTTGCTACAATCCAGGCTAAATAGACGGCAATATTTACGAAAGTTATAACACCAAATGCTTTTTCCCCGTTACTTAAATATTTCCAGAATGATAATATAGTGTTTTCTTTCAATACCTGTAATAAAATTGCGTATGAATATATTTGACCATTGATGAGTGAGAAATATAATAAATTAATAAATGGTTAACACAGACGTCAATAATTTATGTAACTAGTGAATGAATCATATTATACGGTTTTATGTATACAGTAGATACTAAATAGTATTAAAAAACTACATCATATTTTTTTTTGCTATCTACCATCTATATGAAAATAGTTAATTTTGTTTTTAAATAATAATAAGTAAATGACAATAATAATCTATTAATATATGTTATTAGATTAATTTATTGTATATTATATATACACTGTAATAAATTAGTAGATATTAATAGTAAATACCAATTATAAAAGTTCGTTAAAATAAATAAGGTAATTAGTTGTTTGGACTTAATAAAATGTGATATATGTATATTACAATGAATGGTCATGTTTCTCATATTTTTCAATAAGTAACTTAGATAATGGAAATCGCATACTTCCTTTAAAAAGTCAATCCATTAATTATATATATAGATAATAATTTATTGTTATGATATATTTAGGTAACTCTTAGGATGAAATTTTATATAAAATTTAAAATTAATAATAATAATAATAATAATAAAAAAAATGGCTAATTAAAAATAATTTATTTTCAAGTATAGATAAAACATGTTTTTCTCCAAGCCTTAACAGAGAATGCATTATCTATAGAAATAAAAATAAAAATTCATAACAATAATTGTACGCAATCAAAAGACTGTTGCTGTGAATCAATAAACATTGAATATAATTTTAAATTTTTAGGAATTTAAACAAGTAATTACACAACAAAGAAGAACCAAATCAAATTATTAGTAAGAAAACTAAGAAAAATTATTTATATACTTAAAAATTTAAACGAAATTCTAGAAGTATTTGAATTGCGTCAAATTTATTTAGCATTGGTAGAATTAATCATTTCTTATGGTTTAATAAGCTAGGATAATGGGGTGGTGCATTTGATGTCATACATCCCAATTACAAAATATGTTAAAATAAAATTATTAAAGTAAACACAAGATACACAAAAACCAAATTTGTCGTTAAATGATTAAAAAAAACCACATCTGGTCATCGAGATAAACAATATTATGAAGTAATTATTTATTATCGCAACAAAAACTAAAAAATCGAACCGTATGAAATAGTTATCATTACGTCTATTCCGTAAGTGCATGAAAATGTTTTACGCTTATTGAAAACTGCAAAGGGTTTTATTGTTCTGTTTTAATGATAGTTTATTTTTCATTATAATCGTAATATTTTTTTTGATTTTAATAACAAAAAATAATTATTTAATATAAAATAATTGCTGTATGATTATTTATGGATATCAAAATAAAATCCAAAATCCAACAACAGAATATAGATACTATTTTTATTAAAACTGAATATAAATGATATACAAAAATTATTTTAATAATAATAAAAAGATACATCAATAAAAATAAAAACAATGAAGTTTTTTTCTTAAAGAAGAATGGTTTTTAAAATCTTTGGCAGATTGAATTGTTTTTCATAGGTAATGTTACAATCTAATATTAATACATTTTTGACAAATTAAAGTACCTAAATAATGAATTATCAGGATTAGAAGAATTCAAATCTATACCAGTGTTTACAACAAAATAAAATTTACTATTTTTATTTAAAATACTTTTATTAATACTTTTAATAATTATTACTAATCCCATTTCATTAAAAATATAAGAACTTTAAAATTTATTTCAATAAATATTTTAAGAAAAAATATTAAATTTTCAATTACTTATTTAAAGTATTTGGAAAGTTATTTTAAATAAAAGTACTAGCTACATTTTTTTTTTGCCAACATTTATACACTATAATTGATATACTCGTAGATTTTAGTGATTTTAGTCATGAGTATTGAGTAGTTATTGTTCACTTTAACAGACTATGAAATTCAAAAATCAAATCTGGTTAGTACTTAATATTATTAGTTATAAAATGGTAAATAGTAAATACTAAATGTCTAAATACTTTAAATACTATAGGCATATAACTATACGTAATTCATATAACTAAGTAAGTACCTACCTACCTACTGGCTTCTATGTTAGGTACTTTTACTTAATATTATGTTTTACAGAATGATCAAACTAACTATTTTGTCCAAAATTTCCAATTTAATATTCAACAAAGTTTTCCAATAAATATTCAACATTCGTCTATGTTCAATAATAGTCGCAAATATAACTGCTATAAAAATCACCTGAAAAAAAAATTATTTAAATATTAAAATTTTATTTTTTAAAAATAAAACCAGTAGGTACCTATCTTTTATTCCTCAAATTTTTATTTTTATTGATATTATAATATTTCACGATTCTAACATTCAAAGTATAATAAGTTAACTAAGATACCTATTCAAAAGTATATACAGATTACAAAGTGATTATTTTAATAATAAACTTTCATTAGCTTGAAAAGTATTAATCCTTTATGCAAAAGGAGTTACAAAATTTCTGTAAAAAGTTAGATTTTAATTATATTTAAAAGTTCAATAAAATATTGCGTATGGTATTTACTCAATTATGAATATCCTTTAAAGTTAATTAAAAAACCAAGTATATTTTGTAGTTATCGAAAATATTTTTTATTATTTATTTTTGTAGTCATATTTTCTTTTACATATTATCTTAATGACAATATTAATTTTTTAAATATATATACAGGTTTTTCTTAAAAATGATTTATGTATACCATTAGTGGCTAAATTGAAACTAAACATAGAAATAAATTAAAGTTATGCTGAATGCTGATATGCTGATAGGACTGATAGGTACATCTGATATACAGAAAAAAATGGTTATCTTCAGAGATGAAATAATATGGTTTCAATGATTGAATCGATTTAACTGAGACATTTCATATTGAATGTATGACATTTATACATATTTAAACAAGCGTTACCCTTATTACATTTTTGTTACAATTTATAAACTCACAATTTGATTATTTTCAACATGAAAAAATACAATAAAGGAAAATAACAATACTTTAAGGAAATATAAAATGAAGTTCTTATTGGCATTAATATAAGATTCCTCATTATGATTATCAATACTGATGGGTATGGTGCAAAGACTGCAAGCTGTGGGATAAAGAAAGGTGATAATATTATACAACCGTTTACAATGTTTACAGTAGTTGTTTATTATATATAGTGCATATTTAAATTTTAAAGTTAGCGGTTTATTAAGAAAATTGATAATTATTACCTACCATTTACCTCGGTTAAAATTCTGTAGTTACCCATAGATACAAATATTATAAACACTATCTATCGAATACCGGTGTCCAGTGGGTGCAAATCACATACCTACCGAGCGATCCACAGTTATCTTTCCGTGTGCTTAGATATTTTATAGTAATTTTACAGCACTTATTTATCTATTTTAATATTATTTTGCGTTTTTGAATTTTTCTTACGGTTATTGTAAATATCACGTGGTAAATTACACCTATTGTAGTGTGATTCAAAATATTCACCGACGGATTTCGTCCAACGATAACTGGTTCATATATTCTACGCAGTTGTTGGACATTTGTCCCCAACTCGGATTTCATTTTATTAGTATCTATGATAAATTAAAAGTAAATATATTACACATGTTACTTCTTATAAAGTTGTATAGTATAAGTAATTACTAAAATATAAGTTACTTACATTTATTTATCAAAGTATATCTCTAATATAATTTTGTATTAATGTTCATATTGTTGTTATATTTTGTACTCGAAAATATGTAAAATGTCAGTTAGAATAATGTTATTACCTAATCTATGTTATTATTTATTCATTGGCAACGAAATGAAGTATAAACGTGTGAGGTTAGTAGGTAACGAATGAAAATATTTTTAATATTATACATTTATAACATAATTTTTATTTTATATAGAAATCACGACATTAAGAATAGGTAGGTAGGTATTTTGCTTTTGTATGTCATCTTTCCTTTTGTGTCTGCATCATTTATCACAGTCTTGGAGGCTCAAATATCATTGTATAACAGCTTAATAACAATAAATAAATAACGGTTAAATTTTCGCGTGCAGCTAATATTGGATTCCACGAAGAGTAACGATGGGACATGGTGCCATTTTTAGAATGAATGTAGTGTGATAAGAATCTCTAGTTAGTGTACCTACTATTTTTCCATATAAGGTACAGGTCGTTTTGTAAATTTCTTGAAGTTATTGGAGGGCGTACATTAATTAGAATTATATAACTTTGCCATCTGTTTATTCTACGATAAATGTATTATAGGTATGTGGTAGGTTGATCTGAGAACTAAGCCGTATATGTCAATATGTGGTATAGAATCGGGGAAAGTATATCGTCTTGAGGGACATAAGCTTTTATAGGAACTAAATTTAAGTCAGCGGAATCATAACATACTTTAAAATAATCGTCAGTTGATAGTTAGGTACGATTATAGGCGTCCGCACGAGAGTAGAAAATTTTTCATGTGCTGCATCTACCACATTTTTTAAGCGAATTGATTAGTCTGTAGACCACTCGGGCCGGTACAAGTTATAATCGCTTAAACACAGTTGAGTATAGACAAAGCTATCGGTTAATATGTTATTAAACAGAATATAAAAATAAAATGTGTAATATAATAATCTGTTTCTGTGTTCCAGTGTTTTGGTTATGATCGTCGGTCGAGAGGTGATAGTGGTTAGCAGGTTAGCTTAGCTCTACTAGCACGCGGGAGTGTCGATCGCTACTGCTGGAAAATCCTAGGTGACTACCTACGTTCTTAAAAGGAAACTCAATGAGTACTATATATAAATAGCTTATTTGGTTATCAATAAGAGGAAGACTAGATATATTTAAACAGTTTCTATAAGTATTAAGAATATTTGCTGTAATACCCATGACTAGCTGTTCATGTGAAAGAACTTTTTCAAAATTAAACATCATAAAAAAAAAAAATTAAAAAGCACATTGTCTTGGAATAGGTTAAATTAATTTTTATTTTTGTTTATTGAACAAAAAATGACTGCCAAGGTCAATATTGATTAAGTAATGGACCAGTTTAAATTAATGGTACCAAATGATAGAAGACTACTTGTTTAAAAAATAAATTAGTTATTCTTGTCGTACTATTACTATTACTTTTATTATTATAATCATTAATAATAGTGTAATGTAATGTTGTATATATTTAAGAATAATAAATTGACTATGTATTTTATGATTTTAAGTTATACAACTAATAAAGTCTGATAATAACAATGACTTGGTATTTGTAAAAGCAGTGAAGCCCTGTCAACAGTGGCTCGATAAAGTGAACAAAGATCTAGAAAGCCTGGGAACGACTAAAATTGAGAATGTGGATGATCGGGAATTACCTATGGAGGAACGTGGTAAAAGCGGCAAAAGACCATCATGGCCTGTGAGCCATAAAAATTTTTTTTAGCATAATGTAGTTTTAATTTTTATCATAAATCTTTTTTTTTTTACTACACAGGTACCAGATTAGCCAAATTGCCTGATTTGTAGTCTGTCATTGGCTATTGGCAGGTTAACTTGACCGTATTCGAGGCCATGGTATAGTAAGATCATTAAAATCTGTATATGATCTTTTGGGTATGTAAAGGAATAAATAGCCAACAAGCCAACAATTATTGTGGTATGACATAACACTATAAACATTTTAATAAAAAAAGAAATTAATTTTATTTAATTCATTAATTTTTGGTTGAAAATGATCCAAAGTTTTAAAGCTGCTCTGACTGGCCTGTCGCCTACCCAGTCTACCTCTGTAATACTCTGTATAAATTAGTATATACATTGATTTTAAAATATATTTTAAAATCAATGTTACATGTAAGATAACATACATTATATAATTAAGTATAGTCACATATATATAATATCTGTCATATGTATAGTTATAAATACTTATTATGCACATTTTTTTTACTATGGAAGTGGTAGTATACGATATATACATAGTACATATACAAGTATAAATATATAGACGGTCAGTCGATTATACAACCTGTTGTCTGTATTTTAAAACTTGATATTACATTTTTAAGTATTTTGACCCAGAAAAATATTTTTATCGATATTTATAAAATAAAACTAAACTTAAATATTAAAAGTTTAAATGTCTTTTTTTTTGTAACACTAAGATTTTTTTGAATTCTAGTTTTGAGTAAAAATCCCAATTTTTCTTTAATTTTTAATATTTTTCTTACTTTTGACTTCCCAAAGTATCAATTAGACCTAATTTGCTACCATAATTATCCCAAAGTTGAAAAATTAGAGCAATTTTACTGATTGAAAGGCAACAATAGACAAGAAAGAATCCACATTATTGTTAAACAAATTATTGACATAATGTATTTATACTCAGAATCTAAAATGGGAGTGAGAATGGTTGAAAAGACCTAACCTAACCCTGGTGAATCACTTTGTATAATAATTACCAAAAAAAATGTTATATTGTATAACAGTCACAGTAACTAGAATTTAAATACTTTTTTTTCAAATTTGTTGTCCATAAATATTGCTCTGTTTCGCTCAAAATTAAAATCTTATCAATTTATTTAACAAAATTATTAATTACAACATTTATGACATTCAATATATTAATAGTTAAAGAATATTACTCACAACATTTTATTGAAAAACCATTAGATATTTTTATAAATATATAAATATTAAATATACAATATTACTATTTCATTTATCTTTGACTTGTTGAATAATTTTTTTTAATGTTATCCAGTTTTTTACAATATATCTTCGATTATCCCATACATATGTTGACATATATTTATACCAAAATCTGCATAAAAACATAGTTATTAAGTAAGAATAGATAAAACTATACATAATACATACAATTTCTTCAAAATAATTATTTTGTTGAATATCCATGTCAAATAATAATATCGAGTAAATTTCAAAAAATATGTAAACACTCTGTTGTACAATATAGGAGTTAATGTATTTTGTTATTAAGTTGTATTATAGAAGATAACATGTTAAATTTAAATTTAATAATAAATTACTGTATACAACAAAAATAATTCTGTGTAAAGATGGTCAACTTTTTGGTTATCAATGTTAGCAAAAAATTATTTAATAAATTTTCGTATTTTATTTTTTTTTAGGTTTTTACTATAATTTTAAAATTACTGAGAACTTTCAATGTTGACCTCCCAAAAGTATTAACTAGATTCAATTTTCTGAAAGAAACCACCATCAAAGCTGGCAATTAGAAAACTTATTATATTCTATTAGAAAAAGTGTCTTCATACCAACAATAATAAAAAAAAAATATTATTGTAAAATTAACTCATTCATAACTACAGTCGGGTCTAGTACAAACATCTGATTACAATTATTATTAAAATAATTATTTGGTAACTTTGGTTAATAAAAAGTTAAAATGTTTTTACTCAGAATCATTTATAGTGATTTATAATTGAATTCAAGTTTAACACATCCATTGCAGTAACCTCCTTTGACGAGGTATACTCATTACTTATTTAACAGCAGAACAGTTGTAATGTTTACATATTACTTAAAAATAAAGTAAGATAATACTTTTTAATATTATCTATGATTTTTTAATTTTTCATATTCATGTTTTTAAACTGTAGAATACTAACTTAATTAATAAAAGTTTATTGCTTATCACTCGTCAAATTGACAAATAGGCCCATATTGTATATAGATTAGATATACTCGGTCAATTTTTCATGTTTTACTTATCAGCAGTCACTATATCGACATGGGTCTTGTTAAATTAACGGACAATAATTATTAATTAACTAATAGCAATGAAATGTTTTAATTTAGATACTTAATAATAGTTACATATAATTAAGATAATAAATATTATTTTTTAAATTTTCAATATTTGTCAAATTGACAAATGATTAGCATTCTACGGTTAAATAAATAGATTAATAACTTACAAATCTGTATTTAATTTTGAAATACAATATTAAATATATACAAGATCTGTTCAAAAAAACCCAGAATTTTTTTATGAGGTGTTTATCAATAGGTTATTAAAACTTATCACTCATGAAGTATTCTTTAGCTTGATTTATACACTTTTGTAAATGAATTTTCTTTTACTTCATCTATTATCGTAAATCTTTGTTCTACAAACACAGTTTTTAGTATAGGAAATAAAAAAAGTCAGCTAGACTGCTAGAGCTAAGTAGGGTAAATGTGACAGATGAGGAAGTAGTCATTTTATTTTTTACACAAAAATCATAAATCAATAGTGATGGCGCCTAAGAATTGTCATGATGGAGAAATTCCAGTTTTATTTCTTTACTTCAGGCTTTTTTATTCTTGGAAAAACATTTTTTGTAGGAGACATTTTAGTACTTTTAGATAGTATCATTGATTAACAGTTTGTCTTACAAGTAGAAATTTGTCATGAATAACTGTCAGATAATCAAAAAATATTGTTAGCATGACTTTGACATTTAATCTACCCTGACAAGTTGTTCTAGGTCTTGATGAAAATTTTCTGATCCATTGTGATGATTGGACTTTGATCTAAATATCATAATCATAGACCCACATCTTATCACTCATAATTTGTTTTATGAATATTTCATTCATAACCATTTGTATGGTTTAATAATTCTTGACAGATAGTGACAAAATTGTGCTTATAATCTTGTGAAATATATCTAGAGACAAATTTTACTTTAATGTGAAGCATTTCAAGTTTTTCTACCAAGATTCCATAACACGAACCAATTAAAATGGTACAATGTTCCATGATGTCTATTAGAGCACATAATTTCATTGATTTTTGTTACATGAGTATTGTCTGTTGACGTTGACAAACATCTTGAATGTGGGTTGTCATCAACTGACTTTCGACTGTCTTTAAAACATTTACACCAGTTATAACACTTAGTATGTCCTAAATACTGATCACTTTAACACGTTCGTTGCAACTCAATTTTGTATACACATACTCTGGTGCTGGTCAAATTTATGGTTTTTTTTATGACGCCCATTGAGAAAATGAGAAATTTGGGATATGGATTGCATACACATATAGGTACAGTAACATACACTAAACAATGCTGACGAATAAAAAAAGATTAAAACACAATGTTGGTCAAATTGAAAATAGTTGAAAATGAATGTAAAAATGAAGCCTTAAGGCGTCATCTGCACATGGGAAAGAACAAAATAACAGCTCAAGGCATCATCCCACAGTGAACATGTTAATATTGATTTGTTGTTCATGAATATTATTCATTTTAAAAATCGCATAACACACATGACTCATTTACATTAAATACACACAATAAATGGTTTGGTAGTGATAATAATTTCTGGTTAATTTGAATATATAGAAATTTATATTTTTATTTCAATATAATATGTGTGTTTTAAAGAACGATAGTTCAGAAACTTTTTGAACAGATCTTATACATGAGCATTTCAATTTTTTTTTTTGATTTGATGTACAGTGACTCATTAATGTAGAAGAAATAACATTATTGGTTTTTTTACTTACATTCCAAATAATGTTCCTCCTAAATGAGCAGCATGGTCAAACATTTGCCATTTCAAAATTAATCCCATTATGTCTAACGATATTATACCAGTTAATGCCTGAAAATATATTTAAATAAAAATGTCAATTAAAATATAACATTGGCAAGATAAAAGGTTTTATAGGTAAAGTCTCAATTAAGCTAGTTATATTTAACACTGATATTTAAAATCAAATTAATTTTTTATTTTTTTAAATAATTCAATTAATTTTTAAGTATTTTATGATACAGTAAATAAATATATTTAAATTAGGATAATTCTGGAAACCTAGTAGGGTGAAGTATTTTTCAATGACAGTAATTTTATATGTAAAAAAAAAAAAATGCTTTTAAAATAAAATACTAGGTATATGACTTACATGAATTGCATCAAATTGTATATTTGGTAAAAATATTATACCCAATTTTTGATCAGGATGCGATAATGAAAAGTATCCAACAACTGATAAAATAGCACCAGACTAGAAATACAATAAAATTAATCAATTCTCACAAGTACTTGCTCATTAAAAAAATTATTTAAATAAGGTTATACTTACAGCACCTAAACTATTTCCTGGAAATTTAAAGCTCCGTCTAAACATAATACTAGCTAATGATGAAACAACACAACCACTTATATACATTGCAGTGAATTCTTCAGGTCCCATATCACCCCATGGTTGGATCACACCTTAGTCATAAATTGTTAGTTAAGAATAAATAAAAATTTAATTAAATATTAAACACGTACCTCGACAAAATGTGTGAAGAGCATACATATTAAAACAAAAATGTACTGGAGAACTGTGACTAAATGCACTTAGAAGAAGTGACGACACTGGAATTTTTCCTAAAATCAATTTTATTTTATTTCTTAAATTAGTTGTAGTATATTAGTTATTATCTAGTAAGGAGATCCATCAATGAGATTTTATCATAATTAAATTTATATTATATATATATACACAATGTAGACCATATTGAGAATTAGTCCTTAACTAGGCTTTTTATGAGTTAACTAATTTGAATTGGGTTAAATTGGTTTTAGTTGTGCATGTAAACGTAGTATCTATATACAATAGGTCAGAAAAACAGCCCATCATTTGGAAAAATAACAAGTAATTTGTAAGTAGACTATCTCAGAGGTTTTCAAAGTGTAAGGTGTGACTCTCTGGGGGGTCGCGAAAGCTTATAGGGGGTGTAAGAAAATTTTAAAAATCAACATTGCATTGGTAGGACAAAAAAAAAAATTGTGAAATGTCCATAATAATAATACAATAGGCTAATTAATTAAAACCTTTAATAAAAAATATATTTTATTTTAAAATAAATTTGTAATATTAATATCAATATTAGCCTATATTTGTTGTTTGTTTTTAACTTTTTATTATTCTAAACATGACTATTAAAATTATTTTTATGAGGGGGGCTCAGGTGTGGGGTTGACCAAAAGGGGGTGGGCATGGCCTGAAAAGTTTGAGAACTTCTGGACTATTCCATCCTAAAAAAACTAATTTTCTATATAGTCTACAACATATATATATATATAAATATTATTTAATAAACTTACTAGCAAGTGCATCAGTCATAAAATATTTGATCATGATATGTTGCCATTGAGGTACTTGCCATGCAAGAAAAACAAGGGAATTTAATAAAAGTATGGTACCAAATACTTTTTCTGATGGTTCTAGTTTATTGAAATTATTTTTTAACTTGGAAATAAGACTCTAAAACAAAATAATATTATACATAGATAAATTGAATAAAATATATTAAAAACTAGTTTGAATCTGTTTAGAGATTATGATAACTGAGATTTTATTGAATATAAAGCAATTTTTAATCATAAATCATCAAATTTATTTGTTTAAAAAAATTGCTATATTTTATTTAAGAGGACTCTATCTTATAAACGTACGACTTAGTAAATTTTCATTCACCAGTTTCAATAGTGTACTTTTAGTTTTGATTTAGAGTAAATTGACTTATTATCAAACTTTTAGGTAAGAACATTATTGAGTTCTCTCATTAGATTTTTATAATAATTTAATTTTTAAGTGAGTTATGAGTATAAAATTATAAATATATGAAAATGCCCATAATTCACTTAAAAATTAAAATATTGTAAAAAACCAATCAGACAACAAAGATAAAATCCTTACATAAAATTTGATAATCAAAACTGATATCAAAACTAAAAGCACAATATTGAAATTGGTAAACGAAAATTTACCAAGTCAAAAAAAAACACTTAGTGTGTAAGATAGAGACAACACATGCGGGAGTAGCGTCTTCTTAAGTAATAGAAAATGTAAAACATAAAATGTCATTAATTAATCTTCATTTTGTTTTAAGATTATTGTTAATAGAAAATTAATTAAAAAAATTTAAGTGAAAGTAACTCACCTCATTTTTTCTTTTGATAGCATTTCTGTAAAATTCAAAGGCATTGATTTGTTTAACATTAGCATGAAGTCGCTCATATTGAATAATAGATGCTAACACAACTGTACCAGTGCAAACCTAAAAAAAAAAAAATGTTTACTTAGAAATAGTTTTCATAAATGGTTATACTTAATTCTTACAGATATACAAAATAAAGATGGTCCTAAAAGAGAATTTGATTGATTTTGAAATCTCTTTAAATTATAATTTGGACGATTGAAAGCTCTTCTCGCAAGGAGAGTATTAGTAGGCACAGATAATTTTCGCAGCTGAACAGCTGATATTTTAATACTTTATAAAACAATAAATAGATAAAAAATAAAAGTTAACTCGAAGTAAATCAATAAAAATAAAAATTGCAAATGCAATCAGTAAACATATTGATTAACTGATAATCTAGTTTTACAGTAATTTTACCTGCACAATTTACTAAGGAGGCAACTCATTTTTTAATTTAAAAGCTGAAATAAAGTAATAAAAGAGATTAAATAATCAACAAATTACAGGATTTAAAAATAATTTTGTTTATACATTTTACATAGTTAAGATTTTTGAACTTTTTAAATAGTGTTTAAACTTCAAAATATAAAAATAAATGTAATTAGTGATTAATTAAAACTGAAGATTGAATTACTAAGAAGGTTAGAATTAGAAATTCGGAGCACTAAAATGTCTAAAATGTCTAAAATATTATGTGGCCATTACCTTTGCGCTTTACTGAAATATAACAAATATAGATAAATTATCATTACGTTATCAGAAAATATTGCCAACGGTTACAAAGATTGATAAAATATTTATTCCTATTCCCTTATTTATTTAATAACATCAGTTTAATATATTGGTAACTCTCTATAGTCGGTGAACTAAGAGTTGAGCGTCGCGGACTCGCGGTATAACGTAAATTTATACGATAAGCAATTGACTAATACTATAGTAAAGCGATATTTTGACGATCTGTTCGCATTCTGAAAAAGCGAAGAAATTCATAAATTATTGAACACTGAGAATATTGATTTACTAGTTAAAACTTGTAAATTTTAGAGAGTTAGTGATCAGAAAGTATTATTATAATAAGAAAAAATAGTCGTGACAGTTAACAACTAAGGTAAGTTTTGATTGATATAATATTTTATCGTTGGAAATTTTGCTATTTATTCATCAAACTTGCTTAATTAACCTGTGTTTCTAGATTATGTTGGGTGGTGGTCTATTTTCTAATAAGCCAGTGGCAGCGCCCACAAACCCTAATAAAGATTTTGAAGTTACGCAGCCTCCTGATGACACTATTTCAGCAATGGCATTCAGTCCGGCCACATTACAGCAAAACTTTCTCATTGCTGGTAGTTGGGATAATAGTGTAAGATATGCAAACAAACATAAAGTGATGTTGCAATCTGAGATTTTTATTTTTATTTTAGGTACGTTGTTGGGAAGTTGAACAGAGTGGCAAAACTGTGCCAAAATCCATGCAGTCTATGTCTATGCCAATTTTAGATGTCTGTTGGAGTGATGATGGCACTAAAGTTTTCATGGCATCTTGTGATAAACAAGTGAAATGCTGGGATTTAGGAAGCAATCAAACAGTGCAAGTAGCAGCTCATGATGCACCCATTAAGACTTGCCATTGGATTAAAGCGCCTTCTTATACTTGTATTATGACTGGTTCATGGGATAAAACGTTAAAGGTATGCTAAGTGTTTTTTTTACACCATACAGGTGTTTTTGAGGTTATATTTCACGATTATACTATTTTCTATTATAAGATATTTGTAATTACTAATTTACATGATAAATATTTATAATAAATAAAAATCTTTTGTATTATCTACATAAATACTAAATAGTGGTGTTTTCAGTATTTAATTATTTAATAAATAATTTATCTTAGTAGGCTTATTAAGTAAAAATTAAATAGGTACTTTAAATATTATATTTTTTTTAATTTTTCATTTGATAGTTTTGGGATGTTAGAAGTTCAGTTCCCATGATGACCATTAATCTACCAGAAAGAGCTTATTGTGCTGATGTGGTAAGTTGATAATATTACACTTTAATATTTTAGTAAAATAAAATTATTAATTAACTACCATTAATTAATTTAGTCTTATATATACTATTTTTTTTTTTTTTAATTATAATTTTACAAATGCTATTTTTTATAGTAAATTGTTTTATTATTTAGGATTATCCTATGGCAGTTGTTGGTACAGCATCAAGGGGTATAGTTGTATATAAATTAGAAGGAAAACCTGAAATGGTAAAAACTGTAGACTCTCCTCTTAAGTATCAACATCGCTGTGTTTCAATATTCAGAGATAAGAAAAAACAATCTCCTACTGGTTAGTAATTATGTAAAAATAATGATCTATGTTAGCATGTACAATAAATGAATTGGTTTTTTATTTTAGGTTTTGGTTTGGGAAGTGTTGAGGGACGTGTAGCTATTCATTATATACAACCACAGAGCTCAAAAGACAACTTTACATTTAAATGTCATCGTCAAAATAACTCTGGAACAATGAATGTCCAAGACATTTATGCTGTATGCTCTTGTAAAATTAAAATTTTATATTTCTATACTATTTGATATTTTAACAGGTTAATGATATCAAATTTCATCCAGTACATGGTACATTAGCAACTGTGGGTTCTGATGCTACATTTGCTTATTGGGATAAGGACGCACGTACAAAATTGAAGTCTTCTGAGACACTTGACCAACCAATCACAAAATGTTGTTTTAATAGCAATGGTCAAATATTTGCTTACAGTACTGGATATGACTGGTCAAAGGTTTGTATATTAGTTATGTCTAAGCAGTGGTGTATTGGTAAATAAATTTATGAGTATATATACTTAAAAGTAGTTAAATAAGGTATAATTTAAAAAATTTTCTCACTTTGCTTGAAATATCTTATTGCTTATAATAGTACATAATAAGTTTTATTTTTTAATACAAACATTATATACTTATCTACGTATAAAAGAACTTATAACTAGCACACTTTTGAAATTTAATTTTGGTAATTTATTTTTTATAGTTCATAAATGTATTTACTTTATCTAACAAATATTTTCATAATTGTGAATTTTTTTTACATTAAACTAAAATTGTAATTTTAATGATAAACAGGATGTAATCAGATAGATTTGATTTGAGTGTGAGTACTTAGTATTCTGACAGTATAACATGGAATATCCGCTAGTTAATAGATACAAGTTTTTAAAATAAACAAAATAAAAGTGCTTTATTTTAAATACCTTTTAATTTAATGAATTAAACCATTAAACACAAAAAAAACATTATAGATCAAAATTTCTTAAATTGAGTTCCCAGAAATCCCAAGGTTAGGTATTTTTTGTTGAATAATGGCAATAAACAAAAATACTTTACTTACTATTAAATTTATTTTTATTGATAAATTTTTTTTTTTTTTTTTTTTGTATTATTTTCAGGGTCATGAATATAATAACCCAGCCAAGAAGCCTCAGATATTCTTAAAACCATGCTTTGAGGATCTGAAACCAAAGAGTACTACTTAGATTATTAGTTTATTTTTCAAAATGCATTATTCATTGTATTTAAAAAAAAAAGTACTTCGGTATTGCATTCTATGAATAATGTATAAATAAAAATATGTAATATAATAATTCAAGTATAAATATTAAGTAAGTTTAATTAAATTTTTATTAGATATATGAATTAAATTATTGTGTTATTTTTCTTACTTGCCTCTAGTTCCTATAGTCATATTAAGAATAATTTTAACAGCATTTAAAATACAAACTCTAATAATGATATAGACAAGTCTTTAGCATTTTTAGTTGAATACCAAGAATGTGTTTAGTATTTAAATAATATTTAAGTATTAAATATAAACATATATGAGTATTATAGTCAATATATATTTTTTAATTTTCTAGTATCAACGGTGAAAAAGACGTGTTTAGACTTTGAAAACTATTATATTTTTGTTGTTTAAGTTTAAAGAGTAGAACATCTTTTGTGTTTAATAGATATGTTTGTGCATGCCAATCATTTCAAACATCTACGATCTATCGATCACCAAAGCTATAGTTACTTTTCTCCTATAAGAAGAATGTTAACAATGGGCATTTCAAAAGAACATTTTTATTTGAAATTAAAAATTTATTTTGTTGTTCAAAAAAGTAAAAAGCTTTATAGTTGTTTAATTATAAAGATAAGAAACATTCAAAAATATATTTTTTTTTTTAGAAAAAAATTGTTTTTTATTTTAACTGAAAATTATGTAAAAACGCAGTAGTTAATACATTGAAATACTTGCATATTAATGGGGTTGTTCATCAACAAGTTATTGGGTATTTAGGATAACTGGATAAGTATATTTTAATGTAAAAATAAAATGTAAACGTAAATATGCGTAAATATGAGGGCCTAGTGCAATGAACACCTATGCACAGTGGCGTAACTATACATTTGGGTCCCCAGGGCAGTATAAACTATAAAGTGTTGGCCTCCGTATATTTATAATACCAAAGTTTAAAAAAAAATAGCCACTTTATTCCTGTATAGTAGGTAGGTATTACAATTTTTAAACAATAATTTAAGTGTTTCCAAACTTTTTAAACACACGGTATAACACACATTATAACTTAAAAGTTAAACTTACTTGTTCTATGCAAGTTGTCCAGACGATTCGACAATTAAATATAAAATGACGTGTAGATGAACAAAATGAAAAATAGACGATGTTAATATTAATATTACGATAATAATAATAATCGTTGTACGATTGCCATTAGTGATGAGTGGCATAGATTAAATATACTAGTATATTTAATCTATGTTAGTGGATACTGGATAGTATGTGTTATGTGTACGAGTTAACCTAACGACGATTATTATTTTTATCGCATAATAATCCAGATACAGGATTCTATATACATTATACACATCGTGATATTAATATAATAAATAAATATCTTCTGTTTTCCAATAATAAGCTGTTTTTCACTTTTTTCCTATCATAATAAGTAATAACAGTACATGTCTCGTGAATTTTAAAATAAAATTCAAATGTTTGTACATCATTTTTTATAATACAAATTGTATGTACGAGGGTCGAAGGCCCCTCCGGGGCCCACCAAGTCCAAGGCTCCGGGGCATTGCCATGCCTTGCCATTCCGTAGTTACGCCACTGTATTTAGTTTCATACATTGTAATTGCTTAGAGCTTAGCCTAACCTAACCTTTGAATTCTTAAAAAAAGTATTGCTATTTAGATTGAATGTATTCAATAGCGGCCTATATAACTTATAAGTACTTGCATATAAAGCAAATATAATAAACAGACACATAGGACTCGATGATCGACGACATCTACGTGTACGATAACGGCCGGACGGATACCATCGGCAGTCACCGCCAATGATATAGATAGTTATCATAAAATCATGTGTGTAAGTCCCGAACAAAGTTACTCAATTTTCTAAACGACTATCTTGAGTTATTGAGTTAAATACCCTTGAGCTTCTATCGCGTTAACATGTTCGTGCATCACAATATACCTATCGCCAAAATTATAGTTATTTTTCTCTAATTTATAGAATGTTAACTACGAGCATTTCAAAAGAACGTTTTGATGTTTTTCAATGATGACTCAACCAGACTAGTCTTTAAACCACGAATAGACAATTATTTATGGTAACTATATGATAATATTAGCTAATAATCATATTTGTATATATATCTACTGTATTGTGCCCACTATAATAGTGCGTACATTATTTATAAAAATAAAATATTATTATTTACTAAATCAAAAATTATATTCGAAATTTATTTTTACATCATTCGTGGGAGTGTTCCGTCATAGCGCCAACATAATATTATATAGGTCGTATACTCGTATATAATTCAGCTTACTGCTAGTTTTGTTTTATACTTAATACGTACCTAGTTTTATTTACGACATTTATCTAAAATTGTCGATACTTATAAATTATAACTAATCAACTTCTTGCCCGAAATTTGATTTTTATAGATCTAAATACTCAGATTACAATTCTGATATGGAATATAAAAATATAATACAACATAATAAATGTATAGTTAATATTTGTTTTAAAATTACAACAAAATATAAATCGTTTGAGAAGAAATGGTTATTTTACGGGTAAATAATATTCAATATGGTAAAAATTTGAGTTTCAAGTGCTCATAAAAGATTACTGTGATTTTCTAGTGATCCTTATTGTTTATTATCAGTAGCAAAAACTTACAAGGAATCTTGTACGATATTTTTAAATCTTAATGTAAAAATAAAATTGTTTATAAATTTCTAATTACAAAATAATTAGTAATTTTTCGCAATTTTATTATAAAGATAATTTCGTCAAAATTATATTTTCTATTTTAAAGTATATAATTAATAATATTTTAGTTATTTTATTTTACAGACAACATTTAATAAGTAATAATTAAAATATTATAATTTTATGACACTATAAATAAAAGGCCATTCTCATATTTATGTCTTATTGTCTAGGGGCTAAGACCATGGTTTCTTAACTGGGCTTTCGTGTTAGATGTAAGTACTAAATGCAATTGAAAAAAAATATTGTAAATTATAATAGATTTCTTTAAATGTTTAAAAAATAATAATTAAAATTTGAAAAAACTGAATATAATTTTTTACTAAATTACTGCAAAAAAATAATTAATAATTTAAAATTAAATCTATTTAGAAATGTCAAATGTTTAATTGTAATAGAACTTATAGAATATGCTTGAGCAAAATGTTAATTATTTTTATACTGGTTTAATTTTAATGCTAAGTATCAAAATAGATTAGATTGGTTTAAACTATCCTTAATTTTTATTTAGAATGTCTTTATCGAATTTGTTTGTTGTACAGCTGTTACTTTATAACGACTTGACATTCATAGTTTATACTTTATACAGTAGACGCCGCTTATAAGACTCACTTTGGGACCAGCACAAAGTGAGTCTTATAATCGAATGAATCTTATAGGCGAAGCGGAAAAAAAAAATTAATTACGTATTTATAAATTTTATTTTATTACATATTTTACTTTGATTTTAATACATTAACACATATTACATATTACATACTTTATTATTGAATAAATTTAATAATCCCGATAAAAAAAACTAAAATTATAATCGTTATAATTATCGTTGCGATAAATATGAACTTTTATCTGCGATATAAATTATACGTTATAAGGTACCAACAGAAACTAGAAATAATCAACACGAATATTATTTAATTTTTCAAAACCAATTTATTTCTAAATTATAACCAAAAAAGTTTATTTTCTACTATTTATTTTACGAAATTTGAGTCTTATAACCGAAGTGTTGAGTCTTAAAACCGATTTTTTTTAATGTATTTGGATACGTCCGGACCGTTCCAGACGATTTTGAGTCTAATAAGCGACTGAACCTTATATCCGTGAGTGTTATAAGCGGCGTCTACTGTAGTTACTTATTATTTATTATTTGTAGGTATTCCTTTAGATTTAATATCTCGTTAATAATTTACGGTTTGATTTTTTATTTTACAAGAATTTAAATCTATTTTGTAAATTAAAATAATCAGAAAACCGAGCGGCGCAGTAGAGAAAGTCGGTTTAGTTAAACGTAAGTATTATTAGTTCTTTAATTGAATGTCGAATTTTAAATGTCGAATTAATTCTTAAAAAATAAGTAATTATTATAAAAAAAAATAAGTTCTTTTATATTATCTAGCAATCATTGCCTCAGCAAAACCTAATTTACAAACTTCTGTGAAATATGCTAAAGTAGAGTTAACTCAACTTAATTTTTACTTTACAATGTTAGAGCTATAGAATTAGTCATCATAGTATATGAATGACAAATTTAAAATTTCAAGAGAAACAATATATATTTTGGTCATACAACAATGTGTAGGTATTTACTTATTCTAGCTAAAATTTTGTTTATAAACATTCAAAGTCACGAAATTTTCTAATTATTTTATAGTTAAACAATTATTAGACATTTACTATTATAATAGCTATAAGATTTGAAAATTAAAAATAAGTTCTCTCTAATCTTATGTTATTTTTTTTTACCAGAATATATAAAATGTAAACGAATTTGGTACTTTCAAACGTAAATAACGATTTCTACACACATGTTTTTTACTATTTTGTTGTGATTTAATAAGTATAAATTAAAACTTAATATATATTAAAAAAATATATATTGCAATAATACCGATTATATTGGAAACAAGTGATGCTGTGTGACCATTTTAAATTATCAGTAGGCAGATAAATAACTGCTAACTACAATGTATACTTTGCCCAGTGTTTTTGGGCAATATATTAAAAATACTATTTTTGTCATGTCGGGTTGTATTTTTATCAATCCAAGTTACTTTGCTCGTACTAAATTGGGCATTATAAATTAAGCTATAAACAAAACTTTCCATTTGAATACATTTTTTTTTTAAATCTGTTAAACAGTTAATAAATAGTTGATATAGTGAGGAGTATAGGTACAATAGAATTAATAGATAGTCAATTTAGTACGTATTATATTTTTGGAGTTATTACACGCATTTTTATTTTTTATAAAGTAATTGGTATGAGATTATAGAAGCAATGTTTGGATTTAGTGAAAAATTGGATTAAACGATGATTTTACATCATGATTATACATCCAATATTAATAATTAAAAAATTAAAAACTGAAGAAGATTTAGAAGTGACTATAACATCTATGAATACTGGAAATCATTGTGTAGTTGATGAAACATTGATGATATACTCATTCTGTTTTTTTTTTATTTGTTTTGGATTGGACTATGAAAAAAAATAAAAATTCTTTTATTTATTAAAATAACCATTTTGACAATAGTGATGAATTTTATACAACTAATGTATAATTTATTAGTTTGTGAAAGACAAAAATCCAATCAACTACTATAGTATTTCGTTGTTATATTGATTAATTATGAATGCTATAATATAGTGGATATATATACGTATAATATATAGTACCTACTATATGTATTGTTGTCATATATACATAATACATAGAATATAAACAAACATAAATACCGATAAATCTCAGTACGATATTTTGCAGTTCTATCCTTAATCTCGCATGTCAATTGTCTGTATTACATTGCTGCACCTGAAGACAACATCTGAAGTTTCAAGCTTTTTGATATGAGTGATTGTACTTGTATGTACGATTGAGTGTTAATTTTGACAATGCTGAGATGCACCGATGATATTGAATTACAGTCATATTTTTCGGGATTGAAATCAATATTCAATGACCAAAAAAAAAAAAAGGTGTTTAAAAGATTTTTATTTTTAAATTATTGAAAATCATAAATATACATACTTTTAAGTAATATAAATTTTAATATGTTAAGTCATATTATGAATCTAATAAAAGATAGTTAAATAATAAATTTAAAATTTACTTGGTTCGCTTTTTACTGCTTGACTAAAGTATTATTATATGATAAAACAATGTTCAAAGAACACTATCTATCAATAATTCTCACACTTGTGTGATTTATTTTAATATACTGTTATAAAGAAAACGCAATATTCATGAATTGAATATTTATTTAGATATAATATTTATTAATTAATTGAACTGAAACACTAAATAGCTAAAACTGTATGTTTGGGAAAAATACCAAGGGAGAAACTACTTTACTTAAACCCTAGTAAATTTCTTGTCAATAAAATAAAATTACTATTAGAAGTTGTTACAACTGAAAGATTAGCCGTGCATTTATATTTAATGTTTCAAAAATTATGAACTTTATAATATTGCGATTTGTGAGTGTAACTTAGTGGCCTAATCATCAATTTTTATTGTAATATCTTACAAATTATTATTGGAACGGGAATGCTGGTAGTTTTTTTAAATCTTTTTAATTTTTATTATTTTATAATATGTTATTAGTAAAGTAAAACAAAATATTATAATTATTATGTATTTTTATTAACAGATTACTATTCTGTGGCTTTGTGGGGTAGGAATTATTAGTCATTTTACGGTACATTATTTTAAGATACTAGCTATCTCCGTGTAGGTACTTCGTTATCCGTGCAAAATATATCTATATTCAATTTTGTTGTTTAATGCTAATACTTAGCATAACGCATGATAAATAATATTTTTAGTTTTCTGATTTATAGATGATATTTCCAACATATCAACTTTATATAACTGTCCTGTCAAGCGTTGATTTTTTTGATAATTTAACAGCAGACTTTTTAAAAAAAATTTCCTTTCTTTTTTTTTTTTTGTTAAAATATTTAATTTTTTTCTTTTCATATGTACCAAAAACCAAGAACCCAAGTGTAAACCAAAATCAATGAAAACGTTTTATACTGTTATACAGCATCAGCTGTACATTCAAATACTTATTTCTCATAATTATTAATAATTGGTAACATGTATGTGAAAAAATATTCATGTGTGTATTTGCCAATTATTTAATAAATTAATAACTTGATTTTTCATTAACTTATAGATTCAAAAAAGGCTTAAAACTTGTATCACGATGTATTCTATCCTTTAAAAAGAAAATTCAAGATAATTGGATGAATAGGTTTAGAGAACATACGTGACAAAGATTTTCATTTTCATATTTATATACATAGATTATATAGATTTATGTATTAAGATTCACTTATATATTATGAAAAAGTTAATATTGGCTACGTTTAAAATTAAGGAACTTTGAACAGTTATTAAAATATACCCTTATACTTTTAACATGTTGTATTAATTGATTTAATAATAAAAACTACATTTCTTTTTTAACCGTAGTAGCAACGATCGTTAACTATGTTAACTCATTTCGAAATTATAGTTTGTAAGTACGGAGTAAAAATATTTAAAAATACATTCCGGTACCGGAAATTGAACCCGATAAAACATTTTTTATGATATTTTTAAAACAATTTGAGGTTTAAAGTCATGTCATTGTGAAATACATTATTTAAAAATTAGTGAAGGCTATATTTAAAAACTAATGATCGAAAATTTTTTTAAATACACCCATCTGTTATTAAAACTTTTAATTCTCAGATTATTAATATACTTATATTTACTTATAAATTAACTTTTATTTTTTTTCAACTGCAATAGTAACGACCGAAAATTATTATTACCTCACACCCTACACTATAATCACAGTTGGTGAGTATAATAGAGTAAAAATATACAAAAATATAATATTTCGTTACCTGGAATTGAACGAGCCTCTTGGATGAAAATCGGGTATCCTAGTCACTAGATCATACTGGAGTTATAGAATAGCAGTCAACCAAAACTAAAAATTTGAATTTTCGTTTTCATTGCTCTTCTTTTCAATGTTTTTATAAAAAAATGTATTGTTCAACTCGACACTACGAAAATAATTTAATGTTAGAGGATTCCTGATGCAACGAACACTTGATATAACAAACGTTTTTCCCGGTCCCTTGAAATTTGTTTTACCGAAATTTAACTGTAGTACTATACAGGGCAAATTTAAAATATATCAGACAATGAGTATTTGAAATATATAAAGTTTTTTTTAAAATAAATTTTAAGTTATTGTGTTTGATAATAAGCTCATAACGCCATCTCGTATTGTTCTATATTTTATTTAAAAGTCAGAGAAGGTTGTGCTTAAAAATTAAGTATCGAAATATTATTGAAACTCGCTTATCTATGTTGTGTTTTATAAATTTTTAGTATAGGTATAACATAGTCGTTGTCAGATTTTATCTTAGCATCATCATCTAATATTTTATAAATGTTCCCAAATTGTTAATCCCTTAAATTATCACCATGTGACTTGTAAACAGTGGCGTATCCAGGATTTTTTTTAGGGGGGCACACACTGTCTAAAATTTTACCATATATACTACCTACTACCAAAAACAAAAAAAATAAAATAAACCAAATATTTAATGTTTATAATGCAAATAATTTGTTTATATTTTCAGTCAGCCATTAAGTTAATATATATATATACATAATAATAAATAATAATAGTAATTTAATAATAAAAACGGGTTAATCTTAACAAAATTATAAGTATATGTAATGCTGGTATAAGACTATTATTGTAGTATGCGTTCATTGCGTTCATGCATACGAATAAATTTAAATCTTTAAAACAAAATCTAGTAAATACGGCCGAGGGGGGCCATGGCTTCCGTGCCCCCCCCACCCTGGATACGCCACTGTCAATGCCATGCAGAAATAACATGCTGCTATATGGTATTGCGTTATATGGTCACGTAGTATTAATAAAAATTATTCAATGATAAGCTAAAAATAGACCAGAAAATAATTGTGGTTATAAGACGCAATGGTATATCAGTCTTAGTAAATTGCGTAAAATGTTGTGATTCATTGTTTTACGGTACTAAGAAATCTGACGACGACTGTAAGTCATGCAACTATGTTACGGTCCATAATGACTCATTTCAAAAATTGAAACAAAGGAAAAAATCTAACTTTTTTTGTTCGTCATATTGCAAATATATAATATTTTATCATTTTGACCTATTCATTATTACCTACCAAATTTGAAGGTATGCATCACGCGATAATCATCACAAATAGAAATCGCGCGTGAACTATATTAATGATTAATAATTCACATGATCATTATTGTTTTTTTTAAGAAAATCAAATTACCAAAGCAGTACACAACAGACGAAGAGTCATTGGGATTGTTATGTTTCGACAAGACGCCGATCAGCCCAACGAGAATGAGATTTGTAGTCATTAGCATTATGTCCATAACATTTTTAATTCAAGTACTTATTCATATTTAGAAATGTAACGTCTTAGCCTTTAAGTTTTGGTATGTTTTATATTTTACGTAATTCATGTGTAAAATATTGACGTAAACCTTCTCGTTAATTATCTATACTAAAATTGTGAAATATATTTTAATTATTGTACAAGGAAATTCATAACTAAGTAATGAAAAAAAAATGGGCAAGTGGTACTTACCAGTCTGATGTACATTAGGTGTCAAGTGGGTCCATGTGATGAATGTGTTGAATTTGAATTACATGATAAATAATTGTATTTAAAATACGATTCTGAATGAAGACGGCCTGTTTATTAACCTATATTATCTTGAGTTTATTTCATGTCATATTTTTGATATTACTATTAAGAAAAGTAATTTATTTTATTATTAGTAATACAGTGGGTTGAACTAAATTTTTCTGAAAACATATGAAATATCATTGCGTAGTTGGATGTTGAAATGGTTTATGGAGATTACTTTGTTTTTTTAAGTTCTGTTTACATATACTTTAATTTATTTTTGAAGGAATATAATATTGGAAAAATAATTGGGAGCCCACTTTACAATAAACATATTTATTTTCTGCAATTGAGTCGAGCTTATAGGTAATACAAATGGTAATTGTAAGCCAAATTATTATTTGCCCAACATCATAATTGTAGCCGCGGTCAGCTCTTATTTTTATATAAATAAGTAGTGCCTTCACGACTGAAAGATAGGCAACATGAAATGAAGCACTACCTATAGGAATATAATTATATTAAACATTAAAAAAAATTAGAAAAAAAGCAATATAAGAATAATTATCAATTTTTGTGCATTTTATTCTGCAATAATAATAATAATGACCATTTTATACGTATAATGATTTTATAAATAAATAATAAATTGCCAGGTAGGTTTACAAATTACAAATAATTATAATAAAATTGCCTGATGGCATATAATATAAAAAATGGGTATGACTTAATCAAGGCCCGTCGGCCATGCTAACACAAATATTTGGTCGACCAATACTCAGATAACAGTTGGTACATACATCTGGTTTTACACCCACGCTACCGCACCAAGGCTTGTATGTATATCAACAGTAATACAAATAAAACAAGCTGACTCTGTGTACGTGCGAATGTGTGTTTACAACTGTTTACGAAGACTTCATAATAATATAACAATGAATGCAACCAATACAGGAACACGAAGTAAGTGCTGACACTACTATCCTCAATAGGTACACCACATCACGCTTAATCACAAAGACAAATCGCTGGTAAACTTCGAGCACCCTAAACTGTGAAATGGGATATGAATTTAAGTAATTGGTATTGTAATGAACGATATTTATCAGACGACTTTCTTGACAAAAAACACAAAATCATAAAAACGTGATTTGGGACGACTGCAGTTGACATAAAAACTTGCACATGAATTGTGCAAAAAGCTAAAGCTTTGACGGCTGAGAGAAAAGTGACATTAACGGACGAACAAAATACGATGAAAACTATATGAATGGGCTTTCAGTGTTACCACACTAAAACAATTAAAACTGGAAAAGCTAAGAACTTTATGACACTGAAAGCATGACTTAACATAAAGTAGGTAACTTTAAACAATAACGAATTTTAGAAAACAAACTGATAACGATCACGCAGCTGGCCGGTCGCAAACGGAAACATGATAACGTTCCGCCGATCAAGACTGGAACTGTGGACCGCACCGTTACACGCACATGAAAATGATAATAAAAAACTAAATGACAATAATACAAACATAACAAACTTAAACACAAACAATAATAGTTTATTAATACTTAAGTAATACCATTTTAGTGAATTCATATAGTACGAATTTGTTGTACTCTATGTGTTATTATTATTTTTTTCACGTTAGTTAAATTTTCGTTTAACAAAAAAAGAAAAAACATACTGTTTAGTATATAAATTATACTTAGGTATGTATAGATAATGTTATATCACATTTCAAAGTATTTGGTTTATTTACTGTTTTTTAGACATTTTCTCAGTCCATTTGGAGCGCCATTTACGAACCGGCACTATTGGCTTTTCCAGACTGGACTAGCCGATCGCTGTCCTTATTGCCTATATGGGGCAATTTGATGACTGCATTGTTAGTGTTACCAGTATGTCAAATGGTCGATAAATACGGTATAGACATAATTACATTTCAAAATATTTCATGAAATTACTTTGTCTGTATAAATGCTTATGTATTACCTACCAGTATCTATTATTAGAATTATTATATATTTATATAATGGAAGTATTTTTATAACCACAGGATTAAAAGAAATCATGTTATATTCATGTTGTTTTTTTACGTTGGGCACGGCTGTTCGATGTATGCCAATCATGTACTCTTGTACGCTGTAAGTGTGTATATTTTCAAAAATGTAATCGAGTATTGTGTAAGTACACTGTTTTATAGTGTTAATCGGTATTGCTACGCTCTTTCTTGACATTAAGGATCAATGGTCAGCAACTATTTTATATGGTCTATTATAAAATGATAATTTAATTAAATACTTTATATTTTTAGCTATTTCTTTAAATCTATAAATGATAATTTAATGATTGAATTATATTTTATTTAATGCATTTGGGTCTTATATTACGTCAAGAGATGTAAAATTTTTTAGTAGAAAAAAAAGATACTTAAAAATACATTTTGGACTGCTGAAATTGCGTTGTATGAAACTAAAAGATAAAAACTGATTGAATATTTATATTATAATAATAATTATAGTTGTACTATAATTATGAGTTGCACTCATACGATGTGCAATAGTGTTAATGAGTGTAATATAAAACAACGACTAACTGTCCCACTAACTACTACATAAAACAAAATAAATATGCTATAGTATTATAAAACTACCTGTTTATTAACAGTCTTCTGTACTGCAGTGTGAATAACTTACTTATTACTTATTAGCTATATATGATACAGGATCTTTTGCTTATAACTTCAACAGAATCTATTTCGAAATTACAATGTGATTTAAACAATTGTTTTCAAGATTTTAAACGATCTTCTCAATATTTTTAATCACTCACCAATCCATTTAATATTGATGTTGACGATATTACTGTTGAGCTTCAAATATAAATAATAGATTCGCAGTCTCAAGATGTTTCAAAAAAACGCAACAAATAATCACTTTTAGTTTTTTTATGCTGAACTAACTCCATCATTTTCAAAACTTAAAAATAAAGTTGCTTATTGTATGTTTGAATTTACACACACACACACACACACACACACACACACACACACACACACACACACACACACACACACACACACACACACACACACACACACACATATATATATATATATATATATAAACAGGTCTTTTCTTACGAAAAAAATAAAAATTTAAAATGATTATACTTAAGCTTAATAATAGATGATTATATCCATCATGTGCTTGGAGCATGCTCAAGTAATTTTGACGTATAATTCGTAAAATATTGAACAATAACCAACAGAAATGTGTATTTATCAAATATTTAAATAGTTGTAATTTTATTATTCTTGAATTGTAACTGTTAAATTGTAATATTTTTAATTTTTGTTCGACACAGCCCGAGGAATTTTTTAAATTTTCTAATGCAACCCTAGTGTTCAATTTATTGCCGACCACTACTATAGGTGATTAATGATTAGTTTAATTATATTTATATATATATTTTTTATACGCAGGTGTTTGCACTTGTCAGCTGTATGTCTGTCTGTTGGCAGCGTGGTGACGACACCACTAATAGTAACTATGTCGGGACAGTGGTTTCCTAAGAAAGAGCGTAACATGGCTATTGGTCAGTTTAGCTTGTGAATATATTCATGTACAGTTAAAGTTAAGTTGATTTTTGTTTAAAGGTTTATGTTCGGCTGTGAGTATGTTGGGATCAGCGGCCACATACATTATTGGTCCTATGGTGGTATCCACGGTCTCTGATGGACCATTAAGTCGGTTCGTCATAAGAATTCAGATTATGCATATGATGTATACATGTATGAAGACTTCAACGCTTTGCGCGTCCTTTAATGAAAAAAAATATCTTATAATGGTATCTTTTATATCATTTGTGTATACTTACAGGTCTGGGTCTAAACGCGTTTGTCACTTTTATAGTTTATATGTTATTTCCGAGACACATTACGCCGCTAAGCGGCAATGAATCTATGTGTTCGGCAAAGTCGCACAAGAACGCCTGCAAACTGATTTGTTCACTCAAAACACTTGTTATGTTTGAGTGCTATCCTGTCGCTTTTTAATTGAGAATTTTAATTTATTTCTATGTTGTATTTAGGAATTTCAAATTGTGGTGTCTTGTATTTGTGCTCACACTGTCCAATTCAATGACGGTTCCGTGGTCGGCGCTAATACCGTCGACTTTTTCCAAGCTCCGAGTGTCACCTGTAAATTCCGACGTCGAAAGCAATTTTTCTCTTTTTAAGGTTCATGTATAATAATATTTGTATTTGTGTGTTTTTATTTTTTAAGGAAATCACCACAAAGTGTTGTTTTTTTATGATTATTCATACTTTTGGCCTGAGATTGTCTATTAGCAGTTTTGCGGATCGCGCCCCTCGTTACACCAAGGCATTCATTATGGTCAGTCGTTTCGTGTCGTTAATATTTCTCTTTTGGTTAATGTTAATGCTGAACTTTAACGCCAAACTTACGACCAGTACGCAATTAAAATCTCAAGCCTTCTGCTTAAAATAACGATAATAATTATTTACAATAAATAAAATTTATCCACGTTTTCAGCTAGATTGTTTTGTGCTGTTCTGATAGCTTTCCCATATAGCTTTTGTAGCCAGTCACTCTTATACGAAATGGGTGTCGAACTGATGTGTTCGTTACCTGAGAGTTTTGTAGCGGGTTACATGACGGTGATGAACAATTTGTTTGTGGATTTCATTTACGCAGTGTTGTATTTTTTTCCCTATTTCGGTAATACTTATTATAACTATTTGATTATACTAAACAGCCTGCTGAACAGTACACTGGATAAATACAATTAGGTATTAAGATGTATATATAATTAAGTTTTATCTTTTATTTATTCACACCGTATTAAAAAGTTTGTATACAAAGGTATCATTCGTGAAAATATCATCAAAACTTTTTATACTTGATTTGATTTTCCAGTGTTATAGACATTTTTGAGGAATATTTCATGTTTTTATTTTTCAGACGAATATTGGTTAAACATTGGTTTATTCGTTTTCTCGGCTCTGAGCATATTCTTTCTGTATTTCGCCGCGGACATGATAAGAGAAAAAATACAATTCAATCAACATATATTAAATTATTTTGATTTTATAGGTATTTACTATATTTATAAAGCGCAATACTTATTTTTAATTTTAATTATTCAAAAACACGGGTAAGATTTACATGTATCCTACAGAAAATGTCATATTACAATTGTAGTATAATATATTGTCTTAAAATATGACTTTATCATGTACACTATTTAATTATTATATCTAATAATTCACCTTTGGTATATTACAGCTACGCTTGATAGCTCAAAAACTGATTCGACTAAACAAACAACCAATCTTTAATTCTACTATGATTTACAATAATATATAATTAATTATTCTAGTAAGTAGTAAGGAGTTACGTGTTCAGCTGAAAATATAATTATATTAAATATTTGTATGCCGTGTTAACTTAAATATAAATCATGCGAGTATAAATAATATTATTATTTTTTCAAAAATGATAATTTATTACAAATTAAATACGTTAAAATGTTTTGAGAAAATAAAGATTTATTGCTGAAAAAATCACTGAGTATAAGTATAATAAAGTTGTGACATCATGAGTCTGAGGCTTGAATCTGAAAAATGGAATCATTGATTGAAGCGAGAAACTCAAGCATGTCGAATTCCGAAATTGCACAATTTACGTATAATATACAGTGTTTCATAAATAATGAACAGGTTTCAAAAATTCATGATTTAATGAGTTTTAGTTCAAATTTCAATGGACTAGGTAAATTTTTAGTTTTTTTATCTCTAATAATAATTTATAAAAAAATTCAGGGAAAGAATCAAAATGGTCGTAAGTTTACTTAAGTACACTTGACATGTTAGCAAAGTAGGTTATTTTTAATTTTTAATATTGTATTCATACAATCTGTTACAAGTAGGAATAATAACTAAAATTTAACAAAAAAAACGACAGAAATTACGGATTGTAGAGACCACCTATTAGAGGAACTACAACATGAATATTAATTAAGTGGGCAAGTCACGATACTACTGTAGTTTTAATCTTTAAGCAGTGCTGCCAGGGATAGTGCGAGAAGACAGTTCAGAGATTAGGGAATTTTGGTGGGAAGCAAGACGATTTTTGAAATATTTAAAGTGGGGTTTGGTTGTTTCGATTATTAAGGGTATTTTGAGGTCAGAGAGTGAAGGATATGGTTATTAACATAAAATGAGTGTTTTGAAAATTTTAAATTGGAACCTTTGGATAAAATTAATGTTGAAAATGTTGGCAGTACCCTAGAGATGAATACTGTAGATTCGCATAAGTTTTAAAAGTTATTTATAAAGAAAGAGTCTAATAGGAAGTTTTATGTGATTTGATGTAAGTGCTGGGCGAAGAAATCGGAGTGAAGTATTGAGTACCTGAGTTTTGTTGGTTATATGTGGCAGTCAGGTAAGCCGGCGGTCAATTAAGATGCTAAAATTAAGCACTTGTTTGTTAAAAGGGAAATGTTGGTTGTTAAGAAAAAGTGGCGGGCATATGTTTTCACGAAGAGAAAAAGTACAGTGAATAGATTTAGATTCGTTTAATTTTACGCTTCAGAGTTTATACCATGTTTCTGAGTAGTCGAGATGGTATTGAAGATGAGGTGAAGCTATATATTTAGCCTTTAGTTGCTGATTAGAATACCTTTGCCGTCGGAGAAATCACAGACGATTATGTAATTTGAGATGGCTTAAAGCTAAATAGGTTGGGTATGTGTTTGATGATCATTACGATCTCATAACCAATGATGATAGGGGGTATCATCTTAATTTGTAATAAAAATATTTAGCTATTTGATATGCTACTATATGTTTTAATTGAGACGTGCTTCAATTTTGCAAGTATTATCGTTTTAAAACAAACATTCTTTATGGAACACAATATATTGTATAGTTTATTTTACTTTATCTATAAAAATATTAGTGGTATTAAATTGTATCTCTTCTTTATATAGCTAGAAGATTATTTAATGGTAATATTACATATCTAAAATACACCAAATTTATGATGTAATTGGGGTATATGGTTAACAACATCACACAAATAGAAAATTGCAATGTTAGGGGGAAAATCTTTTGCATATAATTATGTTTTTTTTTTTTTTTATAATATAGTGTAACAAAACAAAAACGAATTATTATCATGACTCATAAACAAGAGAACAAAATAAATTGTCAAATGATACTTTATTATAATTACTTGTATTTAATCAAGACAAATGCTTAAACGATAATAATATTATTTTTTCTAATCTTGTCTCCAATTTTTTTAATCCACGACCATTAAGTGATATAGTTTCAATTTACAATAGAGGGAGCAAAAGTTTTGATCGATATAAATAGGTAACTTAAAAATCCGCTTACTACGCTTTCAAGCACATTTCTACTTATATTTTTATCAAATTACTCTTATCACCTTGTTTATTTTTATACTAAGATATTTTTTCTTTGATCTTTATAATGAAACTTTTTTTATTAACTAACTACATAATTTAAAGTTATAAAGAATCAGTTATTTTATATTTTATTTTAATTAAAAATCTGTTAACTTATGATTAAATAACGAAATTATATTTAAGGTATTAATGAATATATTCTTGTTTTCATTTTTAAAAATATCTTCTCTACACAGATATCAAACCATATTTTAGAATTTATCCACCAATAATTGCGGGACTGTTTACCTTTTATCTTTAGATTTTTTCGATACACTGAACGGTCGAGGAAAAAACTATGAAGGCCGATGATATCAACTATATTATAGTTATTTATTATTTTGCCACTAAACTATATAATTTGATATCGACTGTGATAATAAAGTTCAGATTTTTGAGATATTGAAAATTTATCCTTTTAATAATTATTTTTCTTCAATAAATTTTTGTTTTTTGTTGTATTTATTTCAAAACGAATAATTATTATAGATAGGCACTTGAAACTTTTACCATAGATTACATTTACTTTTCCTAAACATAGTACAGTTTTCTAAGTATTTTAACTCTTTTTGATGTATAGAAATAAGAAATATTCATAATTGTTTTAGATTTTTTTTAAACATTAATAAAAACTATTTACTGTGTCAAACTTCTTGACGTTGTTTTAATAGTTGTTTAAAAATATTAAAAATACATTGAAACAATTTATTTTTATATGCATTTGAAGTTCAACATTTTATAAAATTTGTCAAAAATCGCAAAATTTTTTAAACCTAAGTATTTTATAGTCAAAATTTATAAAATTTTCAAATTTAAAAACTTTGGTTAGGTCTTGTAAGTAGTTACATACTTAAATGGTTCAAAAAGTTTATAAACACAATCATTTTTAGACAAATTTACGCATTTTAACGATAAATATCAATGTTAAAATTGTTTTGTTATAAATCAAAAACATTATTTATGGAGATTTAAAACTTTTATGAATATTATGAATTTTACTTAATTGTTTACTAATATTATGATTTTTTAAAAGTATATATATATTATAATTTGATAACACAATAAATGCAATATTTTTGGAAGAAAGTTGTATCAACTTTTTGTCATACTAAAAGTCAAATAGATAAATTTAATAGCTGCGTATATCAAAAAAAAAAAAAAATCATGAAAAAAATATATTAATAGTAACTTTATTACAACAATAATAGATTATACATTTTATAAATAATTAATTTAAATTTAAAATATTATAGTAACCCGTGTAAGTTAATAGGTATTATGCTAGGGGAATGGTCCTTATCAATTTATTTTTAAATATTATTTTAATATACTTAGCAGTTTTAGCATTATTAGCTGACAACCCCTTGAATCTTTCCCGCTCAAAATGTTTTCGTATACAATGATATATAATTTAATTAAAATCTAATACATTCATTAAAGGTGCGCTCGACATTTAATGTAAAGCAGAGCGTTACCTAGACATCTAGTTGCCTAATTTATTTTCTCTGCAAGATCAAAAATGATTTATACTACTAAGTTCGGACACATTTAAACTTATTTTATTTGTAATTTTGTAATTCTACTAATCAGCTAAGTAAATAAATACATGGAAAATTTGAAAAAAATACTTGAGTTAATGACGTAATTTTATTTGTAGTTATCTCAACACAAAAATAAAAATAAATAAGAAAAGTTTATGAGATTTATCAAAGAAAACATACATTATTTATTATTATAAATTATACCTGTTAAAAATTAACAAATATCAAATAAATAGGTATAATTCGTGTCATACAACATCTTGAAAATTAAAAAGTATGCTTTACAAGTCCTTTTACTCGTATTTATAATAGCATAAATATAATATTTTCTAAACATGTGTTTCGGTGACGAGCGGGGAGAAATATAACGATATAATAATATTATGTGCAGGTAAATATTATACGAAGTAGGTACTCAAGAGGGATTTGGAATTGCGTCCGCAGGTAAAATATATGCATACATATAGTGATCCGATGCTCTTTTTATCGTCAATGTACCGATTTTTATCTCATTGAAATGGTTCCCGTGTACGGGTCATCGATATAGTTACTATTTATTTTATGAGCCGTAATATTTATCCGATTTAAGCTTTTATTGACTAATGATACAGTAATGCGCGCGTGTTGTATAGACGTTTTATCAGTGATAATGTTATAAAGTTCAGGTACAGGTAGGTAAGTAAAGACACGCGTTGTTTATTGTTTTTATCGTACGTTAGCTGAACTATATAATATGATGATAGTTTTTAATACATCAATTAAAGGTTAATCTAAGAACTTGGATTTTATAGTCAATTTTTATGGCAAGGAGTATGGTAGAAAGATAATTTTAATATACAAAATAAATACATTTTGATTTATTATGATTGCAATGAAATAAATTTTATTTTTTCATTAAGCTATTTTTCCTAATTTTTTTCATAATTTTCATATTGATTTCACATATTTATTTAGTTTTATTTTATTATTCCACTATATTAATGCCAGAAATAAGTGAAATCATTAAAATATAATAGATGGATAATAAAATACTATCAAAATACTGAAATCAAAGTTTTATATGATTTATTAAAAGCTATCCAAAAGGCTAAATTTTAGTGAAAATAGCTTTACAAAATACAATCTATACATATAAAGTAATACATATTACAAAATATTTGTTTTTAATTTTTGTGAATAATTTCACCTTTGAAAGTATAATTGAATTTAAATGATTTATTTTGCTCATTTAAACCGGAGCCTTACTTATTATACGTATTATATTTTAACAAAACCATGACGTTATTCTTTTTTACCTAATGGTTTTTAAATTTTTGTGTAACAAATAACCTTTATATATATTTCTGAGTGTGGGATCATAGTCACATTGCACGCTGTTTAATGTTTATAATTTTCAGGGTGATGAAGTATATTTATATTGTATGTTAAAACATTTATACGTCACTCTCGGGTTTAGTTCCATAACATTATAATATAATAACAGGTAAAAATTATATTTGTTTAAAATATTATTTACGGTACTAATAAAGTACACGAGTGACGGATACGTGTAATAATATTACTACCTACATATATTATTTTAAGATAGTCGAATACATACTATTCAACTAAACTCACATAATCTGCAGTATTATATATTATATTATTTGTATACAATTATAAATCGGTTATAATTGTTCTCATAAAATATAAAAATAAATCATACGAATTTAGATACTTAACATTTATTGGTTGAGTATTTTATATATTTATTTAGAATCTTTATAATATGTTATTTTAGTCAAATTAAAAACAGTCAATTTTAATAATTTAAATTTAACTTGTATGTTTATTTAAAAAAAAAATTGGAATTTATAATGTACGAATTTTAATTAAAAAACTTTAACAGTCCATAGTTTTATGAAAACTTTAATATTTTCATAATTACATGCACTCATATTATATTATTATAAATTTCTACAAATATATTGTTTCAGTTTTTACAGTCCATGTAAGACAGTGCTGCTTCTAACACTCTCCTCGCTTTTTATTTCAGACAATAACAAACATTTTACTTAAGTTTATGAATCCAAACCAGTCACGCCATCTGAAATAGTAAATATTATTGAAAAAATACATCCTAAAAAGCCTGGGTCATGACCTAATAACTAATAATATAATAAAAAATTTGACTTGATTTCAATTCTTTACCTAAATTATATATACAATTCCCTGCTTCGACTGTCATATTTACCAACAGTGTGGAAACAATCTGTAATTATAATGGTATCCAAACTAAACAAACCAAAAGTCTAATATCCTCATACCGTCTATCAGTTTACTACCCACGCTGGGTAAAATACTTGAAAAATTACTCCTCAACAGATTAATTCCGATAATCAAAGAAAAAAATATACTTCCAAAATCTCAATTTGGGTTTCGTTCCCAACATAATACAATCCACCAAATCCACCAGATTACGGTCAAAATTGCCACTTCATTAGAAAATAAGTAGTGTTGTCCTGGAGTATTTTTAGATATTGCCTAAGCCTTCGAAAGGGTTTGGCATGAAGGTTTCTTATACAAACTGAAGCTTTTTCTTTCAGCTCTATATTATCTAATTCTAAAATCTTACCTTGCAAACTGCTCATTTTTAATACGCCACTCCAATTCACTCTCTGACATTAAACCGATAAAAGCAAGAGTCCTTCAAGATAATAACTTCTCACCTATCTTATACAATATATTCATATCCGATATACCTACGTCGACCAACACTCTATTAGCTACTTTTGTAGATGACACTGTGATTTTAGCATCTGAAAAAGATCCTATCTCTGCTGCCAATAACCGTCAGCCACCCCTAAGTAAAATAAATTCATGGGCTAAAAAATGGAAAATAAAAATTCATTGAAGATAAATCAGTCCATGTAAATTTCTCTTTAAGTCCTAAAGAATGCACTCAACTTCAAATATACAACAAACCGATCCCAATTCAGCCCTCTTCAAAATACTTAGGAATCATACTTGACAAGCATCTCACGTGGGTTCAACATATAAAATCTAAATGTAAACAGGCAAATACATGACTTCACTTACTTAGATCACTCCTAAAATCCAAAATTCAGCTCAAATTCAAAACCCTTATATATAAAGCCATAATTAGACCAAATTGGTCATATGGCATACAGATTTGGGGTTCTGAAAAGCCATCCAAAGCATCTAAAGCATCTAAAGCATTCCAATATATTACTCTTAGAATGATAACCGGAGCTCTATGGTTTTTTACCAATGAATCATTTCATAAAGACCTTAAAATACCCACCATCAACGAACTTGCTAAAAATCAATATAAACGTTTCCACGTTAAATTATTGAGCCACCCAAATCCACTCATCAGCAGTATGTCCTCATCTCTCCCTGGTAATGTTCAATGTCGACTAAAGCGTAATTAGTTCAGAAATTTGCTTTATCAAAAAAAAAAAAAAAAATTTAAACTAAAAAAAAAACATTCTGAGATGTTGTTAAATGAACAACTTCCTCCACAAGTTATTCATGTGCTTATTGTGATAACATTTTTTTTTGTAAACTATTACTTATTGTTTTAAATAACAGATTGTAAATATATTTTAGTAAAAAAAAAAAGTTTATGAATAGAGAAGCTAGTTTATTATTAATATGATTATCATACTTATGATTTTCACGCAGTATTCTATTTAATATTATTGGGCCAAATATTTATATTATTACTAGCTGACCCGGCCACGCGTTGCTGTGGCTAAATGTTCTTACACTTGATATTAAGCTGACAGTCTTAAACTTTTAAACGTTAATATCTAATTTTTTAAATTATAAATACTTTTAATTTTTCTATTTAATTTAACACCAATCGGTGCACAATGCTTTTGGTTAACCTGTCTTTAGCTAACACAAATAGATTCGACAGTTTCCCAACACGTGAACACGCAACATATAGTTGCCCATGAGAAAAACATGGATTTTCCAAATCTAAACCACAAATGGACATTGTTTGACCTTGAGATTTATTTATAGACATGGCGAAAGCTAAACGAATTGGAAACTGCAGCCTTTTGAAGGGTATGGTAGAATCTGATGGTATCATCGGAATACGTGGCAGCAGGACCACTTTTCCTTTAAACTTCCCAGACAAAATGGTTGCTTCAAGAATGTTTCCGGTAATCTTTTTGATGACCAAACGCGTACCGTTACATAATTGAGGTGGCTTCAAATTACGGAGGAGAATAATAGGGGAACCAATCTTTAATCGAAGATTATGTGGTGGCATTCCAGGGATATCTAATGAATTTAAAAATTCATTCGGAAAATTTACACTTTCATTTTCGTCAACAACAGTATCGATTGATTTAAATGACATCAGATCGCCTGGTAACAACTGTTGTATCTGGAAGTTAATTTCGTCAACATCAACGTTTTTGGTTGCCAAAATCGCCCGTTGACTAAGCCATTCATGATTCAAATAATTATTCTGTATATCCGGGAAAATACTCTGAATCAAATCATTTTTATCCTGAACAACAGTGCAAAAATTGTCCGCGAAAGTAGAGCGAGGTATAACCGGTAAGGTCTGCCGGAAGTCACCAGACAAAAGTAAGATAGCACCACCGTAAAGTTTATTATTGCTGTTTTAATCTTGCATAGTTCTGTTTAGTGCTTCAAGTGAATATTTGTGTGCCTTTGTGCACTTATCCCAAATTATTATAGAACTCTTCCGCAACACTGCAGCTATTCCACTATTCTTTTTGATGTTACACATTGCATCTGGTTTATTATGAACGTCCAATGGCAGCTTGAATGTTGAATGTGCTGTTCGCCCACCATCCTAAAGTAGCCGCAATGCCTGACGTTGCTACAGCTAATGCGATTTTTTGTTGCGACCGTATTTTGGCAAGAATCAACGATATTAAAAATGTCTTACCGGTTCCACCGGGTGCATCCAAGAAAAAAAAACCGCCTTGTTCAGCAGCAACAGCCAGCATAATCCGTTTATAAATAATTTTTTGTTCTGCTGTCAGTAATGGTTCACTGTTCATGATAATTGTTGCTAAACTTCCATGGTCATATTGATTTTCTCGTTGTAAATCGGTATTGACTAAGTCGGTGGCTGGACGATTAGGTGATGGCATACCATAATGATTAAGTGATAAATTTGAAATAAGAACACATAAATCCTCGATCAAGACCAATGCTTCATTTTACATCTCTGGTGTATAATCTCTAATTTGGCATTGATTTATGTGTCTAATTCGGTGCAAGATGTCTTCTGTCTAATTTCGGATTGTTATCAGGCATTGGCATCAGTGATCCGATTTTATGGTACACCTGGCCTTGAATTTTGAATGTAGTTTCAAAATTACGTCCATCGGATGCACGATCGCAAATTTTAGTTGCCCCAAATGACGTCATTTGGAAGCAAGAATTAAATTTGTGTATCTTACGCAAAAATAATTTGGAATCATCAGAATTGCCAGTAAGAAGGGATAATAAGGGCTCCGGCGGAGCGGGTAGAGGTGACAGCACAACTTTTCCTGATGCGCAGCACATGCCGGCAGCTTCATTCCGAAATTTCAATGCCTGACAATATTGACATACTTTATCCATTCCACCGATAGCAATCATTGAATGCGCTGAGTAGTTAATGTCTGGTGCATAATCAAAGGCAAGCCGAACGAATGATGCACGTGTTAATGAGCGGCTGATCCGTTGCCTTTGTCGATCTCTTTCTCGTACTGTAGCTATGTTTCGTTCTCGTGCCGCTCTTGTTCTCGTAATATTCTGTTGCAGACGTTCGTCACGCTGTTCTTGAGATTCTCGTGCACGACTTTCTGCAGTCCTAATTCTTTGAGCTGCATTTCTTGTTTCCATTTGTTCTGGTAATTGCTGAGCTCTTTCAACACGTTTGCGTCGTGACCCTTTGCTGCTCGCGTTGTTGAAGTTAGATTTTTTCGGTGGCATGTTATCATAGCACATAAATAAATAAATAAATAAAATAAAATAAAATAAATTGAAATTATTGTGGCCATGGTAACGTAACTTTTATAATATTTTTTTTTTCGATTTTTATCGATATTAATCGATTTCAAGCCCTGCTATTATCGATTTTTGTATTATTATTTATATTTTATTTTTATCTGCTAGAGGGTGCCACCGGTGTAACTCGGTTTTTGTCTCTAAATCTCTAACTCACAGGAGTTAGGTCCATACCCTATATCCTGTCTTTTAAGTTGGACCAAATTACACGCGGTGTAAAAATTTCATCAGAATCGGTTAAGTGGTTTAGGAGTCCATTGAGGACAAACATTGTGACATGAGATTTATATATATTAAGATAATACACTATTTATTTTTTTCATATTTTATTCAAGCTTAAGTAGAACGTGCAAAATATAGCGAATTCTGTCACAACTCACAAGGTTCATTGTATTGAAATATAAACTTTAATTGGTTTAGAGGGTCAATACGGAGTTATTTTTTAATACAAAGCACTCATTGTTTCAAAAAATATATTTCTTTTTATCATTTCTTTACTATTTTTTATAATGGTAGGTACATTCTATTTTAACTTTTTAACATTGTTAATTGACTAAAAGTGCATTTTTAAATTACTATTCCAAAATTGAATATTTTTCATAGTATTTTGGTGTATAAGAATCAAATTTCGAATTAGAAGTATTTAAAGTTTACACGAGCAGAATAGTGTACCTACAATCTTTGGGATACCTTTTGTACCATTCCGTTCCATCCGTCTAAATTTAAATGCTTTCTATTATAACTACATAAACTATATATTCAAAATTCGATTTTTATTTATTAAAATACTTTGAAATTTTTTACTTAGGAATATGAAATTAAGAATATACTATGTTATCGTTAAAAAACAGTAAAAACTTATAAAACGATAACGATAGAAATTAGATTATTTTTTCTTCAAAATATCAATCGTTTTCGTAACAATATATGTGTTTTTCTTTAATAAAAAAAAAAACAATCCATATGTACGAGTAGTCTACAGCGTTACATTATGTTATGTATAATATGGTTTGAATTTGATAAACATATTTTGCAAATCGTATATATTATTATATTTTATACGAATGATGGAAACAGCATACAATGTTAATACATTTTAATCATTGAAACCCGTTATTACATACATATTAGATATTACATTAGGTAATATTGTACACAATATGATATTATATCATGAACAAATCATATGGTATCGTATCTTGTATTTAAAGGTCCAATTAGGTTAACGAATAAAAAAATAAAAATAACCCGTCGCAGGTTATAAATACGTTACTTGACGTGAAAATACTTTTAAATTTTGAGTATGAAACATTTTAAATAAGAGTCGAATGGCATTTTTAGCTATATTTCAATATAATAATCTACCTAATACTGTTGTCAACCATATTCGGTGTTCAAATTAAATGATAATAATACATTTTTTTTTTCTAAAAATAAAATCTTGAAATAAAATGCTATATAATCTATAGACTATTTTTAGTATATTGTCTATATACTAAAAATATTTCATGTCATATAATATTTTGATAGTATAAAATTAATTATTAAACTTATTCTAGCTATTCGGTAAATAAATAGTGAATAATTGGACTGTACGTTAGCCTCGATATTTGATTTAAATGTGTATTGTTCAGTGTTTATTAAAATATTAAATACGAAATTTTTTTTTTTTTAATTTAGCTTAGCTACTAGTATAAACTATGATAGCTCAACAATTACATTTTCAACAATTCTAAATCACATTAAATTCGAAATTTATTGGTTCAATAAAAATTAAGTTACTTATAATTAAATTAACCATTCTACTCTATATAAGATGTCGAATGGGCTTTTGTAATAAATGCTTTAAATTTAAATTCAATAATAAATCATTGTAGTATTGTGTACAAAAAGCAATTTACTATAAAAATTGAAAATTTTATAAATGTTTTACTACAATATACTTGTAGACTATAAATGTTTGTGATATTTGACAAATTAAATAAAAATAATAAACCTCAAGATCAAATAAAAATTAATTTTGTTTTTCAAGGTAAAATTTTTATTTTTAATATAGGTTAAACTTATGAAGAATCTTGTATTCAATTTTCAAATTTTAGATGTAAGAAGACATTTTTGTAAATTTTTAATTATAAAATAATTTAAACATTTCTGTAATTTTACAAATGTTGTCGAAGTTCTTAATTTAAACGCTTATAAAAAAATATTGTGTTTATATATTGTCAATACTTTTTTATTAGTAAATGAAAAATCAATGAGATATCGTGTATTAAATATTAAGCCATTTTAATAAACAAATAATTTTTTAACGTTATTTAAAAAAAAAAATAGAAAATTTTTGATCTTGTATGAACTTGACACGGTACGCAACGATCGCCGGTACAAA